CTTCATCAGAAAAGCTTTTCTGATGAAGGGTCTAGGCCCGAAACGTCAGCCTCTCTGCTCCTATGATGCTGCTTGGCCTGCTGTGTTCATCCAGCCCTGCACCTTGTTGTAATGAGGTTATAGCCTCATTTTTTGGAATATTCTTTTACTTGCTTGTTAGGCCGGTGTATTCTTCTCTCCATATCACTGGTTATGTGATGTAGGCCAAAGTGGTCTTAGAAATGTATTTGCCTATTTACAACTTATGAAGGGCATAGCGAGTGTGTGGAGAATTTTAGTTATGAATCTGTTTTACTAAATTTTGAAAAGCATGTTACAATGTGCTGTTTATTGTTGCAGTGGAGATTCCTTCAGGATTTAAAATAGAAGAACATTTGGAACACCAGGTCATAGTTTTAGGCTAAGGGGTGGCAGATTAAAAAAGAGATGAGGAGAAAGTACTTTTATCAAAGGGTTGGGAATCTACTCCAGGGTTATGGGGAGGGGCTAAGAAATGGACAAGATCAGCATGACACAAGAGTCCGTCAGGGGACTGAATTGCTTGTTCCTAGTTCTTATGTACCGCGAAGAGAGGGTAATTCCATATTAACTCCATTCATCCAATGAAAAGGGAGTGGTTATAATCTTAAAATGCAGTAGAGAGACTTTTCACTTGCACTATCATGATTCCTAGAGTCTTCTGCTGCGTGGCCAGGCAGCTGCCAGAATTTGATGGCAGCCTCATGAACAATTGCAGATCTAGACACTGTATTGGACCCTTCTGTAATTTTAAATGTCCTACTAGACGGACCATGTGCTATGCATAATCATTTCAACACATATGCTTACAGGCAAGTCCAAATCTAAGGACACTGGTTTAATAAAAAAATAGCCTTGAAAAAACCAATAAGGCATTCGGTAGAAGCTTCTTTTACTCAAAATGATGAGAATGTGGAACTTGTTATCACCACGAATGGCTGAGTGACAAGCATAGATGTATTGAAAGGGAAGCTTATTAAGTATGAGGGAAAAAGCTTTAGGATATGTTAATAGGACACATTTAAGTAAATCGGCAGGAGGTATGTGCAGACCATGAATCCTATTATACAGGAGGTCCCTGACTTATGGTCATCCAACTTGCGAACGCTCAGATTTACAAACACGTTCCCATATAGGGATGTAATTTTAAATATCAACATGTAGACATTTGCTATGAAATAACTCCACAGAGGCTGGTATCCCGTCATGAAATCACCCTTTGTTTACAAGTACATAGTACTTGACACTGGTCCGACTTCCTCAGAGCCAGCTCTGAGTGAACAGATCCTCTGACACTCCTGTTTATATCTGTCACCCAGGCTCTCTGCTTGGACCAGATTAACAGCCCCAATCAGGGAATTTATATTCTGAGGTCCACCTGGCTGATCTTGTTATAATCACTACATCTATACTTATGGTTGGCTGCTTTATATGGCCCTGCACAAACCAACTTGTGAATGGACTCAGGAGTGGAACCTGGGGATTGCCTGTATCATAAAATTCTACATAAAATCTTGCAGCCAATAGTGGGATGTTCAAAATGTGAAATTGGTACTAAACGAAGAAGAACTGTTTGTGTATTTATGAATAATGTGGAGTGCTGCTGACCTAACTACCAACATCATACCCAATATTAACCACCCAATACCTCTGGGAACACACTGAACCTATAGTATACCTTTCTGCCAATGGGTTCAATCTCAGGCTACCCACTATTGCCCTCCAAATTAAAATAAGATGAGTTTTTTGTAGTGATGGTGTCATAATATCTCTGAACAGGTTGATTAAGAAATAGCTATAATAAATCATAAATGAAATAGCTTCCTCTCACTGGCCTTCCTTCCCAATTAATGATAATGATTAGTAAGAAGTCATAGATTAAGAATTACTCATTGTTATTTGAAACTTTTCTTATTTACCTTGTTGTCCAGGAAATCCTGGCGAGCCTTTTTGTCCTGGACGCCCCATACCACCAGGAGGCCCATTACGACCAAGTGAACCAGTTGGACCTTGGCTACCTGTTTGTTAAAGAAATAACAGTGTTATGTTACTGTAGCAATTTATATTTACATGGTGCCCTTAATGAATGAAAGCATTTCATAATGTTTCAACAAAGCATCATGAGGCACCATTGACACACTGAAAGAAGTTTGGATGGGTGACTAAAGAATTAGGTTTTGAAGACACTTTTAAAAGTGAACAAGAATGTGGAGAGGTTTAGAACAAGAATTCTAGAGCTTGGCTTAGATAGCTGTGGGTGTAAGCACCAACAGCAAGGCTAGAGAAAATGGATGTGTAAGAGGTCAGAGGAGGAACACAGAATTCCTGGGGGATTGTAGGACTGGTAGAGCACTAGAAGGATAAGGAAGAACAGCCATGAAGGTATTTGAACCAATATAGGCCAACAAGCAAAGGGAGAATGATTGAATGGAACTTTGTATAGGTCAAGTTTTGAGGAATAGACATTTGAATGGGTTGAATGTTTTTGGAGGATGGAGAATGGTAAACCAGCCAGAATAGAAGTTGAATATTCAAGACTGGACAGAACAAAAGATTTGATGACTGTTTTGCTTGCAGATCAACTAAGGTAGGAGTAGAGGTGGGTCCTATTATAATCAGGAAAGTAGGCTCCTTTTGTGAGAGAAGATATTGAATTGGAAGCTCAGCTCAAGGTAAAGCAGGAGATTATGTACAGTTGGTGTGAGAGGAAATTCAAGCGGTGTGTAAGATGAATAAATGATGCACAGCTGCCAATTTTCAGCCAAGCAATGTTTGTGTAATTTTAATTAGATTTATAATGTGAAAGTTCCATTATTTGCTGGTCAATAGTGGCTAAAATATCTCCCTGAACAGAGGTACTGCAAGGTTAGGAGCAGTGGATACTTAACTTGTCATCCAGATGTAAAACTGATGTTGCAGATTAATTGCCTCGATATAGAAGCAACTGGGTTTTCATTTCCACTGAAATGCTAGTTTTACATTCAGTTCGAAATTTGAAAATCTACCTTAAGATTTAACACTCTGGAGTTAAGAGGGATGGCACAAATATTAGGTAATAAATAGGAAAGAGGTGAAAGCATGATCAAATGAATATGGGGTTAGACATTTATTTAGACCCTGTTTTGCCTGAATCTGGACATACCGGACAATGGAGACTGGGGATTTTGTTCAAATATATGCCTTGGACCTTGTTAGCATAATTCTTTAGTGAACTGCTGGCAACAATTATATGTCCGATAAAAGCTTGCAACTTTCCAGCACAATTTGAAACAGTTAAGGAGATCTAGTCCGGGAGGAATTTGAGATGGACAGTGGGAGGTAGGAATGACTGTGAACTGGTAGTTGCTTGGGTTACAGTTATGTTGCAGAAGAAGTATTTCATAAGACCATAAGAAATAGGATTAGGAGTAGGCCATTCTGGTCCCTTGAGCCTGCTCTGCTATTCAATAGGATTGATCTTGTTCCTAGTAGCTCCAAATTAAGGTAATTTAAGATTGAAGTTAGCTAACATTATGACTGGCTATTGCACCTCTCAGTGTGAACAAATTTCTGAAAAATGTGCTAATGCATTATCTTTATGTTCCTCATTAATGTGTGCAAGGAGTCTTCTTTATTTCAAGCAGCTGTTAGTGTTGCTAAAACGTAAAAAGACCCAATATAGCATTCAGGCTCGTTGTGGATACAATACAAACCCCACAAAATCAATTAATTTTGCCCCTTTTAACATCTAAAATCACCAAAATAAGTTGTTTTTCATCACAATGAGTTTACAGTATTTGTGAGAATTGCCTTGGACTAAGACTCAAATTTTAGGTTCCTTTAGTGTTTTAAAAGTACCGATACATCCAGGTGGTCCAGGAGATCCAGGAGTTCCACTTCGTCCTTCAGGCCCCGGTGGACCCGGGAGTCCGGAATCGCCCTTTACAGGTATTGTTGATATAACAGATGGCAGCCCTTCTGGACCTAAGAGCAAACAGGTGATATAGAAACAATTCCAGAATGATACACCTACATTTTTTTCAAGTCATGTCTAAATCCTTTAAGTGCTCCTTAATTCAAACTACTAACAAGATTATAATAAATACGAAGGCCCGAAATATCCTGAGATTGTACTTCTGGAAAAGTGACCAATTTTCATTTTTCTCAAAACTAATGAACTGCAGAATACCACAATCACAATCTTGTAGCTTTGATTCCTTACTTCGCAGAAGAGTGTTCAATTTGCCACAGAGAGTATTGGATATCTTAGCAGAGGTTTTACAATGTGCTTTACTAAACTCAGTTTCAAAATTAAAACCTGCTTATGATCCAGTGTGGGACATGATCACTCTCATCTTTCTAATACTTATCTCATGTAGCAGGCAGTGACATCTCAACATCATGAAACCCAATATGGCCCAGACGTATTTCAGATTCATTGTATTTTCCTTTTGGGTTTTGAATGCACCAATACTTCAAAAATAAACATCTAGAAATTTTAGCTCCTAACCCAGTGATTTCAATATTATTTTTCCCAGTCTTTGCTCTTGTTAACTTGTAAGGTTACCTGGTTGCCCAGGCAGTCCTGGCAATCCTGCATCTCCAGTCTGGCCTTTGACTCCTTTGTCACCTTGTAAACCTATAGTAAAAAAAATTAAATGAGAAATAAATAGAATAAGCAATACATAAACAAATGGCATGGTGGCTCAGTGGTTAGCACTGCTGCCTCAGTGCCAGGGTTCAATTCCAGCCTTGGGCAACTATCTGTGTGGAGTTTGCAGGTTCTCCCCGTGTCTGCGTGGGTTTCCGCCTGGTGCTCTGGTTTCCTCCCACAGGCCAGAGGTGTGCAGGTTATGTGGACTGGCCATGCTAAATTGTCCATGGTGTCCAGGGATGTGTGGGTCAGGTGTGTTAGCGATGTGAAATGCAGGGATAGGGTAGGGAGATGGGTCTGGATGGGATGCTCTTTGGAAGGTCTTTTTGGACTTGTTGGGTTGAATGGCCTGTTTCCATACTGTGGGGATTCTATGAGTCTATGAAACCACTCTCCCCAGTAAGCCCATCAGGACCTGAAGAATATTAGTTCATTGATTATGACATTGAATCCCATTACATGTTTATACTTCTAATGTAATTTCAATGCAAATTGAAAATCTCATTTTCTAGGAGCATCCTGGAAAGTCACGGTGCCGCTTGTTGTTAGAGCCTCATTCAGTTGGTTTTTCACTGACAAAATTCACACAGAACTGATTTTATGCTGTTTTTATACCAAAGCACCTTTATGGATGAATTTCCTCAATAGTTTATGTCACTTTCTAGACACATCATCCAAAACCTGTTGGTACTTAATTATATCTTCTACCTCCCCAATAACCTCTGCAAAATCTTAATTTGGAGAAACACAGCTGGTCAGGCAGCATCAGAGGAGCAGGAAAGTTGACGTTTCGGGTTGGGTCCCTTCTTCAGAACTGGGGAAGGGAAGGGAGCTGTCACAATGTCCAGTGTCACAATGACATCACCCGCAAACCGGAGGAGCAACACCTCATATTCTGCCTTGGGAGCCTATAATCCAATGGCCTAAACATGGAATTCACTAGTTTTAAAATTTCCCCACCCCCTGGCCTCATCCCATGTCCAACCCACCCTCTCATCCCTGCCTTCTTGACCTGACACAACCTTTCCGTCTTCTCTCTCACCTATCTGCCCCACCCATCCCACTGACCAATCCCGACCACTCCCTACCTGCACTCACCTAATACCATCGCACCTACCTTCACCAGCCCCACCCCTCCTCTCTCTTTATTTCTGATCTCCCTTCCCCCTTCCCATTTCTGAAGCAGGGTCCTGATCCGAAACGTCAACTTTCTTGCTTCTCTGATGCTGCCTGGCCTGCTGTGTTCCTCCAGCTCCACACTGTGTTGTCTCTAACTCCAGCATCTGCAGATCTTGCTATCTCTAAAATCTTAATTTGGGGGTGTTTCCAAGTTTCACACAAATTGAGCTTTAACGTAGATCTACAGCTAAAAATTAAAATGTAGCGGAAAGCAAAGCCAACTGGTTGATGGGCAACTAAGATTTTTGGACAAGGACAGTATTCTCTTAGTGACTTTTGTTGAATTCTCTAGCTGAGACTGCATTTTACTCTCTGCTGTTTCGTCAGAGATTATGAACTTGCATACCGTTCCAGAGATTTAAGGACAGCTATTCAGGCACCACTCCATGCAATACTTGGGAAGTGCTGCGCCGTTACAGGTGCCTTGTTTTGGATGAAAGATTACAGTGATGACCTCTCTACTCTCAGTTGGCTGTTATGTTTATCCTTCAATCAACACCGTAGTGGGCCGAATCTTCCTAGCCCCTGAATGACGTGAGCAATGGCAAGAAAGTAGGGAGACTTGTGTGAGCCGGCCAGTGAGGAGATTCCTGAGAGCAAAAGGTCCCATTTTCCAAACAAGTGTTGAATGATGAAATAAGATTCTTACTAGAGAGCAGTGAGAGGCCTTTGCTGCATTAATGGCCTCGTTATTATATCTTCTCACCTCATTGATACGCAGCTGCCCATTCTCCCAACAGCTGGATAGAAACTAGATGGTGACAATTCCTGACATGAAAGTAAGAATGAGTAACTCCAGCTCACTTCTTGTTCCTCTGGCCCTCCATCATCATCAAGATCTTGAGGACACTCCATGGGCAGTGATTGCATGCATTTTTCACCAGAATGACCTTGTCTGCGCCAACAACGTTGGTTGCCAGTTTCTTTCCGTCTGATGAACTGGTGCAAATAAATGACTATGAAGGGCATCTGTGGACTGCCTGTGCTTGACCAGGGCATGACTGAGTTTTACAAAAGGTGCTAGAATCAGGAATCCTGGGAGGCCCCGGAAGTGGCTAGTATTTCTGCCTGTGGAGAGTGAAAAAAGTTGACGAGCAGGATGTTAAAGGGGCATGGAAAATAGGGAATAAGTGGAGTTTGGGAAGATGGCATGAGAAAACTCACTAGAGCTTGCAGAGAGAAACTTTCCAGGAAATCTGCCAAAATTAAAATTCAGCCTAAAAAAACATTATCTGATCAGCAATCAAGTGTTGTTTGTAGGAACATTTTGCTGTTCTTCCTGCATTACAACGGTAACTACACCTTGAGAGAACGTCATTAGCTGTAAAGTGTTTCAGGATATCCTTCGATTTCAAAAAGTGCTACATAAGTGCAAGTTGATCTTTTCCCTTTGTAATGATTTAGTTGATGGTCAACTGCTTTGGTCAGTGATTCATGCTTCTGGACTAATCTGATGGTTCCCTCATCCTCCTCCTCCCAATTCTGCCTCCGTCATTGAGAATTAGTGGAAATTAGATTAGAATGGGTGAGAGATTCACTTTGTGCATTTCCTGAACAGTAGTCAAGTAAGAATGATCTTCCCTCAGTGTGAAAAGTTACATTTGTATTACAGGGCTAGAAGCAGACGTAATGTTCCCTTAATCGGAAGTTATGAGGAGACTGCAAGTAAGTACTGACCATTGCAAGTTTATGCTGGAATTGTAGCATTTATCATAAATTTTCAACAACCTTATACATAGCAAAAAGACCCAAACTCCTGAGTAATACCTGGGAACCCAGGGGTACCGGTTGAACCCCGCTCGCCTTTGGGACCTTGAGCTGATGTGCCTGGAATTCCCTGCAGAGTTGAAGAGAAAGATCAACAAACATAGAAATAAATGTTCTGTCTGGCAGTAGGTGAGGGCATCAATTTGTCCATCAGAAGTTTCCATTAGAAAAATTACCTTTGTGTGAACTAAAGTAGAAAGGCTATCATGACTACATTTCCTTGCTGCCTGTTATATGTTTTCCTACTTACTATCCCCAGGTAATGTGTATGCTGTAACAACATCTTATATTTACATCTGTTTCCACAAGGATTACTGTGTGGGTATCAACAGGCCCCTAACATGAATGAATATCCTCTGTTTTCTTCATGAGGATATCTATACCAACATGACCATACCCGCAATATTTACAGGGACGTAGATTAGGTGCAGGAAAACATGGAGGATGCTTGGCAAGGTCTATTTTCCCTTTTTGGTAAGCACACGGAGTGGGGGGGGCAATAGATTTGGGTTGGGGATGGAGAGAGACCACTGAGGTGGGAGTCGATGGCCTAGTGGTATCATCGTTGGACTATTATTCCAGAAACTCAGCTAATGGTCTGGGGACTGGAGTTTGAATCCTGCCATGACAGATAGAAAATGATGAGCATGAAACCCCTGTTGGTTGTTGGAAAAGCCCAACAAACTCACTGATGATGTCAGGTAGAGAAATACCACCTGGGCTGGCTACATGTGAATCCAGGCCCACAGCAATGTGGTTGAATCTTAACTGCCCTCTGAAGCTACTCTGTTGTATCAATTGCTATGAAGTCTCAACAAAGAGATGAAACTGGATCGACCACTTGGCATTGACCTATGTCTTGAAAAGTCAATGGCACAAATAGCCCTTTTGACCCTGCAAAGTTGTCCTCACTAAAACTGGGGAGGCTAGAGCCAAACGGGAGAGTTGTCTCACAGACTAGTCAAACAACAGCTTGACATAGTCGTACTCATGGAATCTTACCTTACACTTGGGAGGGAGTTACACAGGGAGTCCTCAACATTGACTCTGGACCCCATGAAGTCTCATGGCTTCAGGTTAAATATGGGCAAGGAAACCTCCTGCTGATTACCCATGTACTGTTTTCCCTCAGCTGATGAATCAGTACTCTTCCATGATGAACAACGCTTGGAGGAAGTGCTGAGGGTGCCAAGGCTGCAAAATGTACTGTGTTTGGGGATTTCAGTGTCCACACCGAGTGGCTCGATTGATCCAGCTAGCTGGGTCCTAAAGGACGTAGCTGCTAGACTAGGTCTGCTGCAGGTGTTGAGGGAAAAACATACTTGACCTCGTGGCATTTCACTAATACCATGCTAAATGGGACCAACTTCGAACAGACCTAGCATCTCAAGACTGGGCGCTAGGCACTGTGGGCCATGAACAGCAGCAGAATTGCAACTTCATGGCCTGGCATATCCCCCACTCAACCATTGCTGTCAAGCCAGGGGATCAACCCTGGTTCAATGGAGAGTGCAGGAGGGTATGCCAGGAGCAGTGCCAGGTATATCTAAAAATGAGGATCAAACTGGTGAAGCTACCAAACAGAATTACCTGCATTCCAAGCAGCATAAGCAGCAAGTGATTGACAGAGCTAAGCAATCCCATAACCAATGGATCAGATCTAAGCTGTGCAGTCCTGCCACATCCAGTTATGAGTAGTGGTGGACATTAAGTAACTCACTAGAGGAGGAGGCTTCACAAATATTCCCATCTTCAGTGATGGAAGAGCCCAACATATTAGTACAGAAGATGATGCTGAAGCATTTGCTGCAATCTTCAGCAAGAAATGCTGAATGGATGATCCATCTTGGCCTCCTCCAATGGTCACCAGCATTACAGATACCCGTCTTCAGCCAATTTCTTGATGAATGTTTGTGTGCATGTGGGCAGGCGGGGGAGAATGGGTTGGTGCAGGTGCCATTCCCCACACAAACCACTTTCTGTAAAAAAAAAAGTTGCTGCTCTTGTCCTTTTTTAAATCTTTCTCCTCTCACTCTAAAAATATGGCCCTTCAGTTTTGAACTCCCCCACCCAAATGAAAAGACCCTTGTCATTCATCTTATCTATGCTCCTCATGATATTATAAGCCTCAATAAGGTCACCACTCAACATCCTATGCTCCAGTGAAAAATGTCCCAGCCTAACCAAGCCTTTTTATATCTCAAACCCTCCATTCCTGGCAACATCCTGGCTAACCTTTTCTGAACCTTTTCTAGTCTAATAATATCCTTTCTATAACAGTGCAACCAGAAATACACACAGTACTGCAGAAGAGGCCTCACCAATGTCCTGTACAACCTCAACATGATGTCCCAACTCCTATACTCAACGGTTTGGGCAATGAAGGCAAGCATGTTAAATGACTTCTTAATTACCCTGTCTACCTGTGACACAAATTTCAAAGAATTATGCACCTGAACCCTTGGGTTTCTCTGTTTTACGACACTACCCAGGGCCTACCATTAATAGTTTGTATTACCTGTCCTTGGTTGTATTACCAAAATGCAATACCTCACATTTATCCAAACTAAACTCCATCTGCCACTCCTTAGCCCATTGACCCAATTAATCAAGATCTTCTTGTAATCTTCACTGTCCACTATACCACCAATTTTGATGACATCTGCAAACTTACTAACCATACCTACTATATTCTCATCCAAATCATTTATATAAATGACAAACAAAAGTGGACCCAGTACAGATCCTTGTGAAATACCAGTGGTCACAGGCTTCCAGCCTGAAAGTTCTTATCTAGTTTTACACCGCTTATAGACAGTAATGGAAGGGAATTGGAGTTCTCAGCTTATCTCTCCTTCTTTATCCAGTTAGCTCAGAAAAGGCTGTCTATGTTTGGATATTGCACATGTACTGCTATAGAATTCGGAAGTGACCTTAAAATTCAGATTTGGGGACTATATGCTGCACGTGGCGGAGGCGATGGCCTAGTGGTATTATTGCTGGACTGTTAACCCAAAGACCCAGATAATGTTCTGGCGACCTGGGTTTGAATCCCGCCATGGCAGATGGTGGAATTTGAATTCAATTAGTATCTAGAATTAAGAATCTAATGATGACCATGAATCCATTGTTGATTGTCAGGAAAAACCCATCTGGTTCACGAATGTCCTTTACGGAAGGAACCTGCCATCCTTACCTGCTCTGGCCTACATGTGACTCCAGACCCACAGCAATGTGATTGACTCTTAACTGCCCTCTGGGCAATTAGGGATGGGCAATAAATGCTGCCTAGCCAGCGATGCCCTCATCCCGTGAATGAATAAAGAAAACAAAAACTGCCACAACCCCCGTCAACCTCGTTGGGAGACTTTGGCAGTTTGGAAATCTATCCTTTCAACAATAGGGCACGTACCTTACTCCAGTTCATACAGATGAGATGAAATTGTTTTCTCATTGTAAAAATGTTGGGCTTTTGGAACGACAGTCTGATCCCCGCTGCTAGTGAGCGTAGGATAAATCTGTTCACACAAATTAATAATCTCATTCTGAGAGAATTATTTGAGATAACAAAAAGATGATATGGTCCTGCAAGGGACACAAGTTCAACTTTTAGCACTTTGAATTTAGCTTCCTCAATTGCTCTAAGGTGATAATTCAGTTTCATTTGGAGTGGGGGTTGGGGATTTCAGGTTGTGTAACCTAAGCATCTAAATGCATTATCTCCAAATGTGTGGTGAGGGAATGGGGAATGCAAAGTAGTTCAGTCTTAAAGAAATTGAAAGTTAAATATATCTTCTAGGGGTAGAGCAAGTTATAGATAGCCAAGACTTTATTTGATTATAAGGATGCGTCATTTAAGTCTGAGACTTTGGGACTTTATTCAGGATAAGCAGACTCTTCTTCCTGACCTATCAAAAGTAAGGTGGTCATTTAAAGAGAGATTTTCTTAATTTGAGCACTCTGTGGTTGATGCCAATATCAGATATCAGCAAAAAGCACATACCAACCATTATTTTCCAGTCATTGTTTTTGATATAATTTCTTAGATATGTGCCCAGAGTAGAAAAAAAATTTCCATTTAATACTAAATTGTTGCTAAATCATAGTTATTTTGGTATAATGAGTCCCAAATTAGGAATTAGGTTCGAGACATCCAACTTCATTCCATGTAAGGCCTGATTATCTGACTTTCCTCTTCTGACAGGAGTCTCGGTGCATTTCAGAAATGTGACCATATGTGGCACAGTATTTTCTGACCACTAATTTATTGCATGCATCTTCATTGTGAAGACTGATTAACACCTCATCTCTCTAGGTTCCATTCCAAAGGCAAAGATATAAAGCGACTTACTGCAACATTGGATGTTATTTTATGATATGAACTGTGATTGTGGCTTTGTAACTGAACAGACTGTAAAAGTCATTTTTTTTAAAATGTCATCTTTATCACCCCAAATTGTGTGTTAATTTGGTCATAAATGGAATTGTGCCTTCCGTCACAACTATAATGCATACAAATAAGAGCTAAAAATATATTTGACAAGTTCCTTACTGGTTGTCCTTTTGCACCTGGTTCACCCCTGTCACCTGGGTTGCCTTGAAATCCTGGGAGACCAGATGATCCTTTGTTCCCCTTCAGACAGTCTGGCCCTGGCAGTCCAAACAATCCCTTTAATCCACGAGGACCTCAACATAAAGAGCAGACTGAATTAATTAGAATATTTTCCAATATTTTACTTATTTCATATATATTTGTTAAATATTGACACATTAGGAGTGGATTAAATGGGTAGCGTGGTGATTCAGTTAACTAGGCAGAAAGTCGATGGCAAACCTGCTGCTGCCATTTTCAGAAGCCCCAACAAACGGAAAGACAATCAGGTAGTCAGCTGAGATCCTGCCTCCAAGAGGTTTTGTAAAATCAGAGGGCTGGCATCTCAGTAGCTCCACTTGTAGTGGAGGCCACTACTGGGAGGGAGGGGGAGAAAATCTTACTTCCATGGGCCACAGAATGCCTGTTTAGAAAGTCTTTGTTTTCACTCCAACTCCATCCAGCCTTCATGAAGGCTGTCAGCTTTATCTGAGCAGCCTCCCCAAACAGTACAGCCCTTCTCTGTCAGCGGTATATGAAGTGGCCATAAATTGGCTTTGAGTTGGGAAGACCAAGCTTCACATCCTGATGTAGTCACAGGGAGTTGGGGGAGGGGGGTGTGGGCAATGATGAATACTCCATTTAGTACCTTTCATTCCATTTCTAAGGCCCCCAACCTATTAATCCACACCTAAGGGCTCCATTAGATTCTGAAACAAAAAGAAATTGCCAAAGGAACTCAGCAGGTCTGGCAGCATCTATGAAGAGAAAACAGTTAATGTTTCAAGACCAGTGACCTTTTTCAGAACACGTCTTTAGATTCTGCCTCTCATGTGGATACACATTCATACCAAAAGTAGATATTTCAGGTAATAGAAATTAGTTTCCAATAACAATTATACCAGTTGATTTGTAAATACTACTATTTTATAAAATGTTTAACTACTTAACATTGCATCCCCATTAAGATGGTAAAGACATCAGTTATAAAATATCCAATTGTATTGGCAGCCTTCATAACAATTCAATCAATAAAAACAAACTAATCTTTGGCTGGTCAAGTAATTTCTGATGTTAATTGGCAATGCTAAACCACCCTATAGCATCACAGTGGAAGTCAGCCTTGGGTTTAATAGCATTTATAACTTTTTCTTCTAATAATTGTATCATATAACACTTGAAAACTTCAACTGTCACTTTTGGAAAAGTACAGATTTAGATTTTAGATTTTATTATCACATGTACTCATGTACAGAAGTACAGGAGTACAGTGAAAAGTGCATAATGTCACCACACATGGCGCCATCTTAGGTACCAAGGTACCTAGGTACATAAAAGCTTAGGTACAAAATAGTAAGAGAAATGAGAGTTAAAAAAGTTAAGCATTACTTCATAGAATAGTAGAAAAATAAAGAAATAGGTTGTAGTTTATATTAAAGTCTTCCGTAATTTAAACTAGGAAAATAAGGGATTAAGTCAGAAGTTTAACAGTCTTGGAGTCCTCTGCTTATCTTGCTCTGCTATCTGTTGACGCCACCACCACACATGCAATCGGGAACATGCCTAGGATCTGCTCACACGCTGAATTGAGACACCACCATAAGCCTCCGCGAGACCAGGCCAAGACCTACCACAAGCCGCTGGGAGACCAAGCCAGGACTCGCCGAAAGACCAAAGCGGGGAAAAGAAAGAGGAGGAAACAAGGACCATAGGAGCTCCAGTTGGAGCGTATTACTCAGCTGCAATTTTGACTGGCTGGGAGACTGCATTTTCTCCACAGTTGCTTCCAGCTTGTGCCGGAAATATTGAAGATGTAGCAAATTCCTCCTTATAAACTGTTATTGTCAGACATGGCTCCCCTGAACAAATAGGTAATTTGGAACAATTCACCCACTCACACCCACTCTTGCTCTGCATCTTCATTAAAGCTAGAAGTGGACAAATTTGATGCAGGTTGGGATTGGATTTGATTTTTTTAAAACATTTCTCTCCCAACCCATTCTTGTGGGTAAAATTAGCTGCCACAGCATTTTAATTTATAGAGTTAATATGCTATAACTTATAGCGACTAGGTTTTACCTGCAGGCCCAGGGGTGCCTTGAGGTCCTCTGTTTCCTTTGGGACCTTGAATACTCATTCCTGCAGGACCAGGTGGGCCAGATTCACCGGGGAGGCCAGGAGGCCCAGGAGGACCTATGTCACCTCGTGGACCAGGAGGGCCTCCTTCACTCTCATCACCTGGAGGTCCTGTATCTCCTTTAGGACCTGTTTGATTTCAAAAAGAAAATAAATTTTTAATAATGTGAACAGCACCATGACACATTGTAATGATTGGAATGAGGACCAGGTGGATCTCATTGAGTACAAGATCCTGATTGGGGTTATTAACCTGGGCCAATCAGGGAGTCCCAGATTCAGATATAAACAGGAGATTACCTGCCCCTCTTCCATGGCAATGCGTGGACCCAGGTGTCCCTGGAAAAGGAACACATGGTATGCACCGGCACTCTCGATGCCTTTCGGGAGAGGTGGGTACCACAGGGTGTGGAGTGCTTTATTTCTCACTCGAACTCTGTTTTGATTTGATCCCTACCCCTTCCCCTCACTTTTTCGTTCATATAGGTATTGCCCCCACAGGGGCTCTGCTTGCCACTGGTTCTTTGGTCACATGGGTGTTTTTCCTGATGGACTATCAATAAAGTTATTTACACACCTGGTGTTTTTACTATGTCTCGCACCTGGACATGCACACATGGGTAAAAAAAGAAAAAGAAAACAAAAGCAGGAGATTAAGAAAATAATTTTAAAAAAGGGAAAAAAAGTATAAACAGGAGATTCAGAGAGTCTCCTCATTCTGGGGACTGGCTCTGAGCTAGCTGGTCAGAGCCCATGTACTGTGCACATGTAAATAAAAGGTGATTTAGTGATGGGATACCGGCTTCTGTGCCCAATTGGCAGTTATTTCACAGAAACAACAATTTTCCACACATGCAATGGCAGCAGGCCATTTTTTTCTACTGGCAGCATGTCAATAATTGAAATCTATGGATGCAAACATCATAGACTTTAGACTTATAATTTTTTAATATGCACTTCTAGTGGGAAGAGTTTTGTGACTAACATGTATTACAATGTTACCCATCTATATTTCAATTTTCACATGTACATGTTAATCTGACCTGATTGCCCACATGGGCCTGGTTGGCCTTTATATCCTCTTCCAGGTAAACCTGCAGGTGAGAAAAATATCTGTATTTAGCTTGAACTAAAACTAATGTGCCTTCTTGTGGCATAGTGGTAGTGTCCTTTCAAACCTGGGCCATCATTCAACGAGATTATGGCTGATATTCAACCTTAATGTCATTTTCCTGCAGTTTTCCCATGTCCCTTGATATCTCGTTTATCTAGAAATCTATTGATTTCTGTCTTAAACTTAGTGACACAGTCTTTGCAGCCTTTCAAGAGGGGAGACAACTCCAAATCTGAGTGAAGAAATTTTTTTTCATCTCAGTTCTAAATGACTGGAAGTTTGAGACTGAGTCTCCTTGTCCAGCCATCACCATCTCCTTCCCCACTCCACCCCACTAGCCAGATGAAACATCCTTCCTGCACCTACCCTGTTGAACTCTTTAAGAAATTTGTATGCTTTTTGAACGCAGTCTACCAGTAATGTTTATTGAACTTCCTGCTAAAATGCCTGACATTTGAACGGAAATGTTATTGAAGATGAACTCAAAATACTTTTTCAGGAGTAGCTCACCTGGATCTCCCTTCAGTCCATGAGGACCTGGAATACCATCAAGTCCTTGCCGGCCCTTTGCACCTGTTAATCCTGGTGGACCATGGCGACCTGGCATTCCTATATTGGATTTGGGATATCAAAAAAAAAGGAAGAAAAGCTTTCAACATTTGTTTCATAGGGTTAACCAGCAGTAAAAAAGAAATTACTTTCAATTACTTAGACAGGAACAGGAGAATGTGGATTAGAAACAGTTATTTGAGGGCAAATCTACCTCTGGCATGTGGGAGGCTTTTAAAGACCAATCGACTAAAGTGCAGGACTTGCATGTCCCTGCAAAACTGAAGGATAGGATGGCAGGATTCAGGAACCATGGATGACTTGGGAAATTGTAGGGTTAGTCAAAAGAAAAAGAGAAGCATACGACAAGTCTAGGCAGCTACAAACTGATGAAGCCCTGGAGGATTACAGAGAAATTAGGAAGGAATTTAAATGCACAATTAGGAAGGCAAAAAAGGGGCCATGAAATGTCTTTAGCAAACAGTCAAAGAGAATCCCAAGACTTTTTATGTGTATGTTAGGAGGAAGAGGATAACAAGGGAAAGAGTAGGCCCACTCAAGGATGAAGGAGGGAATTTATATGTAGAGCCACAGAAAGTGGGGGAGATCCTAAATAAGTACTTGTTATCGGTTTTCACCAAGGAGAAGGGCATGACTAATTTTGAGGTCAGGGATGAGTGTGTGAATACTCTAGAGAATGTCAACATATTGAAAGAGGAAGTTTTGGGAATCCTGAATTGCATTAAGAGAGACAAGTTCCCAGGACCAGATGAGATTTACCCCAGGTTACTCAGAGAGGCAAGGAAGGAAATAGCTGGGGCATTGGCAGATATCTTCACATCCTCATTGACCACAGGTGAAGTTCCAGAGGACTAGGGAGTAATGAATGTTGTTCCCCTGTTTAAGAAAGAATGCATGGATAATCCTGGAAACTATAGGCCGGTAAGCAAGACGTCTGTGGTGAGGAAACTCTTGGAGAAGACACTGAGGGAGAAAATGTATTCGCATTTGGAGGAAACTGGACTGGTTAGGGACAGGCAGCATGGTTTTGTCCAGGGAAGGTCATGTCTCATCAATCTGATTGAATTTTTTGAAGAGGTAACAAGGATAATTGATGAGGGAAGGGCTGTGGATGTAGTTTATATGGACTTCAGTAAGGCATTTGATAAAGTCCCACATTCGGGGTGGCCTGGCTAGATGGATAGAAAACTGGCTTGGTCATAGAAGACAGATGATACTGGTGGAAGGATGTTTTTCAGAATGGAGATCAGTAATTAGTGGTGTTCCGCAGGGGTCAGTCTTTGATCCTTTGTTGTTTGTAGTATATATAAATGATCTGGAGGAAAATGTGGGTGGTCTGATAAGCAAGTTTGCTGATGAAATAAAGATTGGTGGAGTTGCTGATAGTGCCAACGATTGTGAAAATATACAACAGGATATAGATAGATTGGCGACTTGGGCACAGCAATAGCAGATGGAGTTTAATCTAGACAAATGCGAGGTGATGTATTTTGGAGGATCAGATTTAGGTGTGAATTGCATTGTAAATGACAGAACCCTTAGGAACACTAACATTCAGATGGATCTGGGTGTGCAGGTCCACAGTTCCCTGAAAGTGGCAATACAGGTGGCCAAAGTGATTAAGAAGCATATGACATGCTTGCCTTCTTCGCCCAGAGCATGGAGTACAAGAGTTAGCAAAACATGTTGCAGCTATATAAAATTCTTGTTAGGCCGCATTTGGAGTATTGTGTGCAGTTGTGGTCACCACACTACCAGAAGGATGTGGAAGCTTTGGAGATAGTACAGAGAAGGTTCACCAGGATGTTGCCTGGTCTACAGGGCATTGACTATGAGGAAAGGTTAAAAAGACTAGGATTGTTTTTACTGGAAAGATGGCGGCTGAGAGGAGACCTGACAGAGGTCTATAAAATTATGAAATGCATAGATAGGGTGAATAGTCAGAGGCTTTTCCCAGGGTTGAAGTTTCAATTACAAGGGGGCACAGGTTCAAGGTCAGAGGGGGAAAGTTTAAGGGAGATGTACAAAGGAAGTTTTTCATGCAGAGTGGTAGCAGCCTGGAATGCACTACCAGAAGAGGTGGTGGAAGTGGGCGCATTGAAGACATTTAGGAGGCACCTGAATGGGTACATGAATAGGGAGGGAATAGAGCAATACGGAATGAAAAATGGCAAGTTTGTTTTTAGATAATTACGGCATGATCGTCGGCACAGGCTTGGAGGGCCAAAGGGCCTTTTCCTGTGCTGTACTTTTTTATTCATTCAATGGTATAATAGCTGGGTAAAAAAGCAGTAACAAACATTTAAGAGATAACAAGGTGTAGAGCTGGATGAACACAGCAGGCCAAGCAACATCAGAGGAGCAAGAAAGCTGACGTTTCGGTTTGAGTACACTTACTTTTACCTTCATACATTACAACTAACAACCAGAGCGATGTTGCTAAGGTCTTGAATTGTGGGAAGCTAAAGAATTGTACTTTTATTATTCACTTGTGGGACGTGGGCATTGCTGGCTGGCCATCATTTGTTGCCTGTCCGTAATTTCCCAAGGAGGCACTCGCCTCCTTGACCTGTCCGTCTTCCCTGGAGTGACCAACGCCCATCCTAACTCCCCACCTATACTCACCTTTACTGGCTCCATCCCCATCTCCCTGACCTGTCCATCTTTTCTCCCACCTATCCGCTCCTCCCGCCTCAACACCCACCCCCACCTCCTACCTACCAGCCTCATTCCCGCCTCCTTGACCGGTCCATCTTCCCTTGACTGACCAACCCCCATCCTAACTCCCCACCTACACTCACCTTTACTGGCTCCATCCCCGTCTCCTTGACCTGTCTGTCTCCTCTCCACCTATCTGCTCCTTTATCCACCTTCCATCCGCCTTCCCCCCTCTCTATTTATTTCAGAATCCCCTTCCCCTCCCCCATTTCTGAAGAAGGGTTCGGACCCAAAACGTCAGCTTTTCTGCTCCTCTGATGCTGCTTGGCTTGCTGTGTTCATCCAGCTCTACACCTTGTTATTTCTGTCTTGGGCATGCTGCAGTGCTCAGTGAAGCTCAGTGGAAGCTCGAAGAACTGCACCTTATTTTTTGCTTGGGGATCCTTCAGCGTTCAAGACGCGATACTGAGTTCAATAATTTCAATAATGGTCCCATTAGCAGCTATTGATTCTCCCAGGCTGACCATTACCCATTCTTTTGCCCAACTGTTGTTCGCTCTCTCTCTGGGCTCCAGGTTCACCTGCTGTTTACTCCTCCCCCCTCTCCCCACCCATCTTCAGCATATATACCTACATTTTCCTAGCTACAATCTAAAAGGTATCTGGATAAGTATATTAATAAGAGGGGGTTAGAGGGATATGGGCCATATGCTGGTAAATGGGACTAGATTTATTTAGGATAGGTATGGCATGGACGCGTTAGACCGAAGGGTCTGTGTCCGTGGTGTATATCTTTATGACTCTATACAAACAGTTCTGAACAAAGGTCACTGGACTCAAAATGTTAACTCTCCACAGATGCTGCCAGAGCTAAGTTTCTTCAGCAATATCTGTTTTTGTTTAGGATTTCCATTATCTCTAGTTTTTTTGGTTAATGAATCTGTCCTGTTAATCAATACTGAATAATTATTACTGGGATATGCAGAATGCAAAATTTAATTCCATTTTCGAGCTACAGTATTATTTTGCTGCCTGAGTAGTTCCTGTGATATTTGAGCATGCTTCTAACAAGAACAAAGAAAATTACAATACAGGAACAGGACCTTCGGCCTCCAAGCCTGCACCGATATGCTGCCCATCACAACTAAAACCCCCTACCCTTCCGGGGACCGTATCCCTCTATTCACATCCTATTCATATATTTGTCAAGACACCCTTTAAAAGTCACTATAGTATTTGCTTCCACTGCCTCCCCCGGCAGCGAGTTCCAGGCACCCACCACCCTCTGTGTGAAAAACTTGCCTCGTACATCACCTTTAAACCTTGCCCCTTGCACCCTAAACCCATGGCCCCTGGTAACTGACTCTTCCACCCTGGGAAAGGCTTCTGACTGTCCAGTATGTCCACGCCCTTCATAATCTTGTAGAACTCTATCAGGTCCCCCCTCAACCTCCATTGTTCCAGTGAGAACAACCCCAAGTTTCTCCAACCTCCCCTCATAGCTAATGCCCTCCATCCCAGGCAACACCCTGGTAAATCTTTTCTGTACCCTCTCCAAAGCCACCACATCCTTCTGGTAATGTGGCGATCGGAATTGAACACAATATTCCAAATGCGACCTAAGGTTCTATAAAGCTGCAACATTACCTGCCAATTTTTAAACTCAATGCCCCGGCCGATGAAGGCAAGCTTGCTGTATGCCTTGTTGACTACCTTTTCCACCTGCGTTGCCACTTTCAGTGACCTGTGTACCTGTACATCCAGATCCCTCTGCTTATCAGTACTCTTAAGGGTTCTGCTATTTATTGTATATTTTCCATCTGCATTAGACCTTCCAAAATGCTTTACCTCACATTTTTCCAGATTAAACTCCATCTGCCATCTCTCTGCCCAAGTCACCAACCAATCTATATCCTGCTGTATCCTTTGATGGTCCTCATCGTTAACCGCAATTCCACCAACCTTTGTGTCATCGGCAAACTTACTAATCAGACCAATTGCATTCTCCTCCAAATCATTTATATATTTTACAAACAGCAAAGGTCCCAACACTAATCCCTGAAGAACGGCACTAGTCACAGCCCTCCATTCAGAAATGCACCCTTCCACTGCTACCCTCTGTCTTCTAATACCGAGACTTTACATTCTGTATCAGCCTGCCATGAGGGACCTTGAGATGCGAGCTGCAGTAGATGCCATTTTGTAGCCTGCACAAAGACAATCCCCTCAAGTATGGAAACAACTAGATTGTGCTAGCTACCTCTAACATTGACTTGACACAAGCACTGTCAGTGTGCAGCACAGTGCTTAAGTAATGCCAGCACATAGTCTTTCATAGCTGGATATGAATTCAGAAGCATGAAGGATTCCTTTACCTTTGTGCAAAATAGATTGTCATATTCTTTCATGTTATAGAGTCCTACAGCATGGAGATGGGCCATTCGGCCCAAACAGGTCCATGCCGACCAAAATGTCTATCCATGCTAATCCCATTTCTCTGCACTTGGCCCATATCCTTCTAAACCTTTCCTATCCATGTATTTGTCCAAATGCCTTTTAAATGTTGTTAATGTATCCACCTCAACCACTTCCGCTGGTAGCTCATTCCATATGTGTACCATCCTCTGTGTAAAAAAGTTGCCCCTCAGATTGAGTCAATGATGAGTAGTGTCATTTCCGGTTTTGATCTGTACGAGTCTGTATATGGAACACACCCTAACACACTGGCCACACTGCCCTACATCAAGAACATATCAAAACTGGCAACAAGACTCCTAAGACCACTAGGAATCACGGTAGCCCACAGCCACTTTACGACAAATATTCACAAGGATTAAAGAACCCATTCCCACAACATGCAGAACCAACATGGTTTACGAAATACCATGCAATGACTGCCACAAACATTACATCAGACAGACAGAAAGGAAAGTAGCCAGAGTACATAAACATCAACTAGCAGCAAAAATGGCACAATGAACTCTCCCTAATATCGGTACACTCAGACAATGAAGGCCATCATTGGGACAAGGTAACTATAGTAGTCCAAGCCAAACATAGACACACGTGGGAATTCCTAGAGGCATGGTTCTCCACCCGTAATGCAGTCAACAAACGTATAGAATTGGACCCCGTATACAACCCATTCAGATCAAAACCTGATGACACTAATCACCATAACGGACCAGAGAGTATAAATTCCAAGGGCAGTAGAATAACATTGCTTCATCGGAGGCTCCACTGATGATGTCACCTAGCATGATGACAAAACGTCTGAATGAGAACAAGCCAGCTTGGCAAGCAAGTCAACAACCTCACCCACAACCTGAGCTACAGATCTTTGCCAAAACTTTAAATGCCCCTAAGGTTCCTATGTATTCTTTCTCCTCTTACCTTAAACTGATGCCCTGTAGTCCTCGATTCCCCAACACTGGGAAAAAGACTGAGTGGATTCACCCTATCCATGCCTTTCATAATCTTATACACCTCTATAAGATCCCCCCCTCAGAACAGAGAAAATTACAGCACAGGAACAGGCCCTTCAGCCCTCCAAGCCTGTGCCAATCCAGATCCTCCACCTAAACCGGTTGCCTATTTTCCAAGGATCTGTATCCCTCTGTTCCCTGCCCATTCATGTATCTGTCTAGATACATCTTAAATTGCGCTATCATGCCCGCCTCTACCACCTCCACTGGCAACGCGTTCCAGGCACCCACCACCCTCTGCGTAAAGAACTTTCCACGCATATCTCCCTTAAACTTTTCCCCTCTCACCTTGAAATCGTGACCCCTAGTAATTGAGTCCTCCACTCTGGGGAAAAAAGCTTCTTGCTATCCACCCCGTCTATACCTCTCATGATTTTGTGGACCTAAGTCTACTAAGTCTCAGTCTCCTACACTCTAAAGAAATCAGTCCTAGCTTGTCCAACCACTCTCTGTAACTCATGTCCTTGAGTTCTGGCAACATCCTTGTAAATTTCTTCTGCACTGTTTCCAGTTTAGTAACATCCTTCCTATGGCAAGGTGACAAAAACTGAACACTTTACTCCAAGTGCAGTCTCACCAACGTCCTGTACAACTGCTATATAACTTCCCAACTTTTATACTCAATGTCATGACTAATGAAGGCCTGTGTGCCAAAAGCCTTCTTCACTGCCCTGTCTACCTGTAACTTCACTTTCAGAGACCCATGCACCTGAACTCCAAGGTCCCTTTGTTCCACTACACTCCTTAAGGCCCTACCATGAACCATGAAACTCCTACCTTGATTTGACTTTCCAAAATGTAACACCTCACACTTATCTATATTGAAATCCATTTGCCATTTCTCAGCCCACTTTCCCAGCTGATCAAGATCCTGCTGCAATTTCTGATAATCTTCCTCACTGTCCATGATACCATGTTTGGAGCTATTTGACATGTCGCTGTTGTGTGGAAATGTTTGTTAGTTTCTAGAGTCACAAAGCGTTTTAAAGTTGTACGGGTAGTGGTGCCACGCAAGCTGACATCAAAGCCTCTTCACAAACTATTTTAAAAGCAGAAGTCACACAAAACCAGGTTGTAATCCAACAGGTTTATTTGAAATCATAAGCTTTCATACCACTGGTCCTTCGCCAGGTGAAGTGGATGGAAATGCACAGGCACAGAATTTATATACAGAGAGATAGTGGCAAGATCCTGAAAGGACTACAAATCACAAGCTCACTCAAGTCAACCTACTTGCCATGATCTCTCTGCATGTAAAGTCCGTGCCTGTGTGCTTCCCTGCATTCACCTGATGAAGGAGCAGCGCCCTGAAAGCTTGTGACTTCAAATGAACCTGTTGGGCTATACCTTGGTGTCAGGGACTTTTGACTTTGTCCACCCCAGTCCAACATTGGCACATCATATTCCAAAAGCAAAATGCTGAAAATCTGAAAAACAGAAAGCACTTGAAATATTCATCCTGTCAGGCAGCAGCTGTGGAGACAGAACCAGAGTTGACACTGCAGGTGAATAATGACCTGCTATCAAGTTAGAAGGGTTCTTATGAAGAGTTTTCAACATCATGTAAAATTAACTCTTTTTCTCCCCTGAAGTTTTCAAACCCGCTAAGCATTTTCTATTTTTAGCTTTGCATATTTACTTGCTCAGAGACATGAGTGTAGCAGTGTGAATCCCCACAGGTCTACAGCAAGAGAGGCAGAATGAACAGAGGCCAAACAGAGGTAGAAAAGCTGTTTGAAATATGGGTACAGAAGAGAGGAGAATGGAAGCTTTCAAGCAGGAGGCCTTATCTAAGGATGTGAAGAATAAAGAACAATACAGCACAGGAACAGGCCCTTTGGCCCTGCAAGCCTACGCTGCCACATTTTGCCTTTCCATACTAAAACTGTCTTCACTTGCAGGATCCATATCCCCTATTCCCTTCCTATTCATTTATTTGTCCAGGTGCTTCTTGAATGCTGCTATTGTGTCTGCTTCCACCACCTCCTCTGGCAGTGCGTTCCAGGCATTCACCACCCTTTGTGTGAAAAACTTGCCTTTCACATTTCTTTTAAACATCCCCCCTCACACTTTGAACATGTACCCCTTAGTAATTGACCCTTCCACCCTGGGAAAAAGCTTCATACTTTCCACTCTATCCATGCCATTCACAATCTTATAAACTTCTATTGGGTCACCCCTCAACCTCCTGCGTTCCAGTTCAGGGAGCAGTTCTCCAATATGAACCTTCATGAGGAACAGTATGAACGACATCTGTTCTTCAGTGAAGGCACCCTCACTGGAATCACCTGGCTGCTGCTGCAGCCAAAACTGCAAACCGAGAGTTGGGCAAGGACTGCAAAGCCAGTTACTGTTAAGAAGACCATGGCCATAAACCTCTCTGCACCTGGCTCCTTTCAGGCTGGCACTAGAGATAACCCTTGGTTATCCACAGAGTTGCATAAAGGAGGTGACTGAAAATATATATTTTGAGAAAGCTGAAACATGTAATGCTCTTTTGCAGGGGAAGGAGTGAACAGAATACATGGAGACAGTGCCAAGAGAGAGGGAAAATAAAAGCAGATGCAAATGAAGGAATTGCTGATGATAAGCCAAGATTTCACCCCATCCCCGTCATCAACATAAATACCACCCTATCCCACCTGAAGAAGGGTCACTGGACTCAAAACATTAACTGTATTTCTCTCTCCACAGATGCAGCCCTACCTGCTGAGTTTCTCCAGCATCCTCTCAGTTCTATTTTTAACAACATTGCTTGAGATGCTGGTGCTGAACACATGGCAGCATGTATATAATGAAAGCCATGCTGCCACAAGAAATGAAACAAGTGTATACCATTGAAATACTTCTGCCTGGAAGATTGTAAAGGAGCTCTGCGGTTTGGCAGTGAAGAAATGTGGGGATATTTCTAATAGGCATTTCTGGATTTCAGCCTTTAACAACACATGCAGAGCCCAGAAAGTGTGGTCAGATTTCTTCTGTTATAAAGCTGAGCACTGATAGGTTCATTGTTGTTCTCATTCCAAATTCCTATAATTAATAATTTCATTAATAAAATGTATTCCACAATAATGACCATAATTCCTGCTTTAGCTAAGAGAGAAAATTGTTGTAAATTGGAAGTGCTGACCTCCAGACTGGAATTCCCCATATAAAAACTTATCTTGCTTTGAGATTTATATTGGAATACTACATTATACAAGTCAACCCTAAACCAAAAACTTTTATTTAGTTCATGAAATTGTACAAAGCAATCCATTGCTATACAAAGGTTATCAAGCTGGGGCTTAGGTCTCCAAACAGTTTGAACAAGTTGAGGCTGGGAAATGCTTTGTAAATTGTCCATCCCCACTCACGCTACTTTGCTGGAATTATGGTGGAAATTCCAATTATACATGTCAACAGTGTTTTCACTGCACCTCCAGGAAGGTAATGGCAGTGCAACAATGACCAGCTTCCCAGAGTATATTTTAGCTAAAGGAGCGAAGAATCTTACCTGGAGTTCCTGGGACACCTTGACTTCCTGGTAAGCCTCGTTTCCCATCAAGTCCTTTACCGCCTTTAGAGCCTGCAGGACCTACAGTTCAACATTCAAAGGTACACAGTAAGTAATAGGCTGGATTCAATTGCTGAACAATATAGACATTTTGCACTAGCTTCCAGAACAATTTCTGGCACACTATACGCTACAACTTATATTTATACAACATTCATATAATTCAAAAGAAGCTGGAGAAAGAAACAAACTCTGAGTGGGAGAAAAGAGCTGGGAATTTTGGGAATGTGGCTGCATAAACTAAAGAAAACCAAATAAAGTTAAACATGTTAGAAGTCAGGGAGGGAGTAAGTAAGTTAGACACATTTTGTGAGGGAGCTCTAGAAGATAGATAGCTAGTTGTAGAATGAGCAGCAAGTGACAATATAAACAAATCAGAATGGTGGAAATAGAATAGATCATTATCAGAAGAGTCAATGTTGATGTAATAGGGGATAAGACTAAAAGGAGATTGCCTGAAGTAGGATGGCGTGAGATGGTAAAAATCTGGAAATGGATTGGGAGTGGTATATGACTTATTGGAACACGTCAAGAATGGAAGGGTGATAGGTCCAGAGAGATTAAGAACAGGCATTGGCTTGCTGAATACATTGTAATTTTTGGAAGGCAGAGAGGCCAACTTGGATAAAACTAGAGAAGTTGACTTTTGAGGAGATACATGTATGGATTAGAGTCTCAGTAATGACGGAAAATGACTTAAATAATGTGAGACAAGGAAAGGAAAATTATTTCTGGGTTATACAGCTTGTCAGGGTTCTGCATTATTAACTTAGACTAAAATGGTAGTCAAAGTGGTTGATGGAATATTAAATAAAAAGCTTGCACGACGAAACAGGAGACAGGATGATTTAAGCTTGTAGTAAATGGGAAGGAATTATAATTTGTCTAAGACTTGATAGTGGATCAAGCAACTGCAGAGTTGGTCAGTAGTTCTGGAATCAAAATAAGAGACAGAAGAGGTAAATATATGTCAAAACATGCTCATAGAACTTGGTTCTGGGCTTCTAACATATTATATCACTGAGAGGCAGCATTTGAAAAATGAGTGAATGGAACCAGCAGTAATTTAAGGCTACCTGATGCCGGTGATGACTGTGAGGGGAAGAGTGGAGAAACCATTAATAGATTTGCGTGGACAGGGCTGGAACAGATATGAATGAAGCTAGAGGATTGAAATAGTATAGAGATTAGATGTTTGATGATCATCAGTGGTGTTAAAGGCAGCAGAGAGGTTAAAAAGAACCAGCAGGAACAATAAACTATCATCTTAGTCATAGACGATGTACTTGTGCCTTTCACCAGTACAGCTGCCCATTTTTAATTTGGAGACGGTTGAAACAATTGAAGACATAATACCTGGAAAACCTGATTTGCCTTGGTCGCCTTTCTCACCAGGTGTCCCAGGACAACCATCAGTTCCTGGTTCACCTCGAGACCCAGGAGTACCCGGTAGTTCTTTTGGGGCCGTAGGACCTTGATTACCCTAAGATAATACGAGGATCAAAGTACAAGATAATTTATTGACTTGTAGATAACTTTTTACAAATGATTGTTCCTTGTTCAGAAATTTGCATGATAAATTGGTCCTGCTGTTCTTGTGTTTGATTCATGGGTTGCGCAGTTCTTATTGTTTAATGGAAAGGTGTGTGTCCTGCAATGAGGGAGCACTGATCTCTGGCACCTCGATTCCTAAAGTGTGTTCATATTATTTAAAAACAGCAGTACTGTTGATGGATAAGTGACCTGATATGTAACTACAGCCTGACTTTTTGCCATTTGTCCTGAGTCCTGCCCCTGAATAGGGTAATGCCTGGTTTCATGAGGACAGGATGGAGGGTGGGCCTGAGTATGCAGATGCCTGGTTCATGAAGACAGCTAGCCATTTAAATGATCAGCCACCTCCAGTCAAAAAATGTTGTCATCCTTATGGTGAGGAACCCAACATGTGCAAAGAAGAACATCAGAGCAGGTCTTTTATTTTGTATTTCCCTATACAGCCAGGGTACCCCTTTGTGTCCGGTCCTGGGATATCTTTGGGGGACATGGCGCACACCTTTGGAAGAGGTGAAGTTCATCTTTGAGAGATGCAAAGTACCCAAACTGGGAGAAGTCAGGTAGCCTTTAGGATTGATAAAAGTAGGCATGTCTATATGTAAAAATACATAAGCCTTTTGGACTGTGAAGTTGTCAAAAAACTGTCAAGGGACTTAAATCTGCTGGCTTACCATTTAAAACAAATGTTAGAATTTAAAAAATCAGTGCCAGATATTTCACTATCTGTAGACATAAGACTGAGGTCTATCATTATTGGATTTGTGCTGCATGACTGATTTCCTAGCCTATCATTTTCACAATGGGATGCCTAACTGCTAAGTGAGCAGTCCAACTGATTGCTCCACTGTTTATAGAATAGAAATGTTTGTCTTCATAAGAGATTAGTCAAAGGAATTTCAATGAATTGATTTTTAAAAAGTCAGTGTGTTTTTTTTTACAAGGAGTGACATAGTAGACACATAAAATGAAGCTATCTCAGTATGGTTCTTGAGGGCTTTCCATGATGAATACTATGTGAGTTTGCATGGAGAGGGAAAGTAAGTGGGTGGTGAGTGGGGAGTATAGGTTGTCACAGGGCCATGGAAATGAGTTGGTAGGTGGGTGAGCAGAATAGGCTGACAGATGGTATGTTGGGTTTTGGGGCGTGGGCAATGTGGCACAAGTGTCAAACAAGGTGTGAGGGGCATGGGAATAGGCGGAGCATGAGGTACGTGGTTAAGCATGGATAGGGCATTTGGAATGAGTTGGGGCTGGTAGAGGAGAGGATATGAGGGGTGCAGCCTGGAGGGCCACTTTTGGTGTCCTTTTTTATTCATCTTTCACAATGCGCTGGTGCACTGAGATAGGACTTCCACACAGCCAACCTTCGCCTGCAGCAGCTTAGTGTCTTGTTGTGGAGTTCCTTGGCCTGTCTCCTAAGGAGCCCCATCACCTTGGAATAAAAAAGTGAAGTTCTGGGTCACTGTATCCCTGGTTTGGGGTTGTGGTGATGGGAAATGTTCCATCTCTCTCCTCTCAACCAAGAGCAAAGATCCAGACCGGTATTTTTTCCTGAATAGATGCTGCCAGGTTTTCTGCACATTTCAAACATTTTTTTCCAATATTTCAAATTAGCAGCATTTGCAATATTTTATTTTTCAATGTATTTTTGGATTCACGATATGAATAATTTAATTAAAGAAAATTGACTGTTTGGTAAATAATAAAGGTTCAGAGTTAACTTACCTTTTCTCCTGGAGGGCCTGGGTTGCCATAGACTAATCTGCTTGGTTCTCCTTTCTCTCCCTTTGTGCCAGGAATGCCGTCAGAACCAGGTAAAGCTGAAGACCCTGTTGGTCCAGCAAACCCTTTTTCTCCCTTGTCACCTGACAAAATGATCAGAAAAGAGTTCACCTATTGCATCACATTGTACCTGATTTGGATGTCCCATATGTACTTTTGTTATAATTTGGTTAGGGCCTGTTAACATTTAAAAAGAAACAAAATATCTTTCTTTAATCAACAGACTTACACCACCAGATTTCACAGTTTTTTGACAAAACAGCTTTAGTGTATATTAAAAATATACACACTTAAAGAAAACAAACACTACCAGCAATAAGCTTTGTAACCACATATGCTATACATTCAGGCTAATTACTTCTGTAGAGTCCACCTGCAAGTATGTTGCAGAATTCTGGAGGATTCCCTTCACCTCCAGTTTTTTCTGAGATAAAATTTTCATTCACCACCTCTTGGCTCAAGATACTCCAATTCCTTATTCTGCTCTGGGTTGTCCTCAGAATGAATTACACATCCAAATTAATTTGCATTTCAGATTAAAAATTTCCGTTAGAAAAGTGCTTTGTGAATCTCTTTCAGTATAGGCTGTTGCTTCTGAATAAAACCATTTCAGTGAATTTGTTTGATTCATAGTTTTATATAGTAGAATCGTTTTAGAAACATACTTCACTCCATCTACATGTTCCAAAACTTGAACTTACCTGGCAGGCCCATTGGACCCGTAGACCCAAGAACTCCATCACATCCTGGATTGCCTGGATTTCCTGGTAAACCTGGATCACCTGGTGGACCTGTTTGGACGAAAGGAAGACAAATATAAATTTTACAATTTTCCAGTATCAAGTAACACAGCAGCACATGTCTGTTGCCTCTCCCTCTCTAAAGCATGGTTGGGAAGCAAATTATAACATGGTAACATGGTAATTATAACATGGAAAGCATGCTGGCTCAGTGCTTAGCACTGCTGCCTCACAGCGCTAGGGACCTGGGTTTGATTCCAGCCTTGGGTGATGGAGTGGAGGTTGTGCATTCTCCACATGTCTGCATTTACTTCCATAGTCGAGAGATGTGTAGGTTAGGTGGTTTGGCTATGCTAAATTGGTATGTCGTGACCAAAGATGTGTAGGATAAGTGGATTAGCTGTTATAAATGCAGGGCTACGGAGATAGAGAGGGGAGCTGGGTCTGGGTAGGATGTTCTTTGGAGAGACAGAATAGACTCGATGGGCCAAAAGGCCTCTTTCTACATTATGAAGATTTTGTGAAAGCAAAGAATCACAGTGGTCTAGATTAAGATTCAAATGAAGAGATAGAATCAGACAAAAAAAACCAAGAACAATTTCTTCTTTAAACTTAAAACACAATGGAAAGAATTTAATGTTCTCATGTGATGTGAATTTGTAGGTGGCAGGGGCATTTAGTCAGGTAGAGTGTGTCCAGGTGGGGATTCCCACCTTCCCCACCTTCTTGCCTTTGTTTTGATTAAGTCTGGGATGAGAGAGCTTGCTTGTGGATGGTTTTCCTGGTTCAATGCCAATTGAGCACCTTGAATAGGCAATTAATGTCCAATTATGGGCCTCATTGCATCCGTGGCAGGGGCGGTAGTTATCACATGGGAAGTCTTAAAAATGGACTCCCAAGAGTCACCTTGATATCAATCTGTGACTGCCTGATAGAGAATCAGGGTATTTGGAAAGGAGTGAGAGCCAGGCGAGAGGCACCATATAGGTCTCTTTTCAGGACCCCAGGGCCCCTCATCAGCAGCCCTATCCTTGTAGCCATCAACCTCCTCTCATTCACATTGTGGCCCAAATCCCTTACTGATCCTAGGACCCTAGTGGATGCATTATCAGCAAATTAAATATAAAATTGGCTTGATGGTAGGAGACAGAGGGTGGTGGTGCAGGGTTGTTTTTCGGGCTGTGAGGCTCTGACCAGCAGTGTTCCACATGGGCCAGTATTGGGTTGACTTTTGTTTGTCATTTATGAGATCAATTTGGATGAGAATATAGGAGGTATGGTTAGTAGGTTTGCAGATGATGCCAAAATTGGTGGTATAGTAGACAGTGAAGGTGGTTATCTGAGATTACAAAGAGGTCTTATCAATTGGGTCAATGAGCTGAGGAGTGACAGATGGAGATTAATTTGAATAAGTGTGAGTTATTGCATTTTGGTAAAAATAACAAGGGCATGACATACAATTCATAGTAGGCCCCTGGGTAGTGTTGTAGAATAGAGAGACTTAGAGGTTGAACTACATAATTCTTTTAAATTTGCAACACCGGTAGACAGGGTGGTTAAGAAGGTGTTTAGCACCTTTGCCTGACTCCATTGAGTATAGGAGTTGGGACATCACATTGATGTTGTACAGGATGTTGGTGTAGTACTGTGTGCAATTCTGGTTGCCCTGCTATAGGAAGAATATTACTAAATTGGAAAGGGTTCAGAACAGTTTTACCAGGATGTTGCTGGAAATGGAGGCTTTGAGTTATAAGGAGAGACTGGATAAGCTGGGACTTTGTTCACTGGAGGCTAAGGGGTGACCTTGTAGAGGTTTAAAAAGTCATTAGGAGCATAGATAATGTGAATAGCAAGGAACTCTTCCCTAGAGATAGTAGGAACTGCCGATGCTGGAGAATCTGATATAACAAGGTGTAGAGCTGGATGAACACAGCAGCCAAGCAGCATCAGAGGAGCAGGAAAGCTTTCCAACCCTGCTTCTTTGACCTGTCTGTCTCCTCTCCACCTATCTTCTCCTTTATCCATCTTCTATCCACCTCCCCCTCTCTCCCTATTTATTTCAGAATCCCCTTCCCCTCCCCCATACCTGAAGAAGGGTCTAGACCCCAAAACGTCAGCTCTCCCGCTCCTCTGATGCTGTTTGGCCTGCTGCGTTCATCTAGCTCTACACCTTGTTATATCGAACTCTTTCCTTGGCTGGGGAATTCAACACTAGGGGGCTTTTTTTTTAAGATGAGAGGAGGAAGTTTTTAAAAAGGATGTGAGGGGCCACATTTTTACACAGAGAGTGGTTCTTGTGTAGTAAACTGCCAGAGGAAGTGATGGATGCAGGTGCGGTTACAACATTTAAAAGATATTTGGATAAGTACATGAACAAGAAATGTTTGGAAGGATATTGTCCAAATGCAGGCAAATAGGACTAGTTTTGTTTTAGAACATGGTCAATGTGGACTAATTAGACCAAATGGTTTGTTTCCATGCTGCATGACTCTATAACATCTATCCCTACTCCACAGGTGCCGAAGGTAACAAGAATCTTCCGGCATCTGATTGACTGACAGCTCTTGGGGAATTGGAAGAATTTTCCCCTTATTTCAAAAATTGTTGTATAAATATTTGCGTTGTGCAATTTCTGGCCTCATCTTAATTCTGCACTCAATTCTCAAAGCCATGTCTGGTTGAGCTAAGAGAGGGGCTACTTTTGGCACAATACAAGCGTTTTCTTAATGAAGTTGAGAGGGGAAAAGGGAGCAGGAGAAATAGAGAGAAGATCTTGCTGCTAATGAAAGTCTGTGCCTACAAGAGGTGGAATTTCTCAAATGTTGCAAAAGTTAGCAGCAGCACTTAGTAAGGAGTGGCATTGGATATGAGTCGCATATGCAATGCATGGCAGGGGAATGGAAAAAGGAAACAGAAGTTGGTGTCTATACGTAAGGTCTTCTATAATATCATTTGGTCCCCAGTGCCATTTTATTGGCTTATGTGTGCTCCCATTGCGGATGCCCTACACAACCTGGTACATCCAATGTGGCTGAGAAGCTTCATCGGGCAGGCATAGAGTTCTCGCCTGGTTCCTATGAGGAAAGTTGAAAACTTTGCTGGTCTGCCCTTCCTATTCCCATCCATAAACTGTTTTCAGCTTTCTAGTGCGTCTTACATTTGTGCCAGCAGGGGTACTTAGCCCAGATTTACTGACCCGCCTGAAATTGACGAGCAGCCTCTTTTCGAGCTGACACTTGGCTGGTTGGTATTAAAATGAAATTTCCATTAACGATAGGCAGAACTGTCAGCCTCCCCGCAGCATCCTGGAGGGAATGCTAATGCTACTTTTGGTAATAGGAGAATCAGTCCAGATAGTTTGATTTCATGAAACAAAAACAGAAAATGCTGGAGAAACTCACAGATAAAATCTGTGGAGAGAAAGCAGAGTCAACATTTCAGATCCAGTGACCTATCTTCAGGATCTTCTTGAGTAATTTCTGTTTTTGCTTCAGATTTACTGCATCTGCAGTTTTTTTTTGTTTAGTTTGGCCTCATGTAAGGTAAAGGCAAAAAATCTTGACACAATTATGTTATATTTCAGCAATGAATTTATTGTGTTTAATTGTACTTGAATCCTGGTACCTGCTGGACCTAGAGGTCCTGGTGCTCCATCTTTACCTTTATGACCCGCTTCACCCCAGGAACCAGTCTCACCTTTTGGTCCCGTTCTTCCTTGCAAACCTGGTAAGGAAATGTGATATTTATTTTGCAATTTAAAAAGTATAATTTCCATCTCAATCTTTTAGAGATTCTCAATTTAAAATTAATCTATAGGAGGTTCACCAGATTGCTAAATGGAATGAACTGTCTTTTGAGTAAAAGTTAAAGAGATAGTGCTTGTTTTCATTGAAGTTTAGATGAATGATAGGTGTCTTATTTGAAGTATTGTCAAGGTGGACATGGGAATGAAGTTTCCTCTTGTGGATGATAGCAGAATTAGGGGGCACTTTTAAAATTGAATATTTTTAAGGCAAATGTGGATAGATTCTTGTTAGGCAAGGGATCAAAAATGATCAGGACTAGATAGAAATGTGGAATTTGAAACAGAGATGAATCAGCCATGATCTTATTGAATATCGGAGCAGGCTCAAGGGCTGAATGGCCTACTTCTGGTCCCAATTTCTATGTATGTCTGTATTTGTTATTCAGTCCCTTTCCTTGGCAGGGAAATATATTTGCAGCCAGGAACATAGGCAGATACCCAGTTTCAGTTGTTTCTAATGCTGCTGTTACATCAGTCTTTCAGAAGTGAAGAAATTTGACCTTGAGGGTAGCTCATTGTCTATTTGCTTCCATCACTGTAGTGATGTAGGCAACATATGGGAAGGCATATTGACTTTGTGTGATAGTGATACATGTGTTAAACAAGCAAGTTGGCAGCCTAGTTTAGAGAAATTATCACCTGATTTTTACTTCCAATGACAAGCTGCTAGTCTGTCACATGAACCATTGAAGATAATTGGAAACATTATGTAGTTTGAAAGCAGCTTTAATGGCTGAGTGAGCACAACTAAGTAGAAGTATCATCTTAAATACTTGCTTTTGGAGGACATTCTGCAAACTTCAGCAGTCAATGCTTCTGTTCTCATTCAAATGCTGAAATAACAACCCTATTGCGTTATTAAAACTTTTGCACAACTGTAAAGGAGCTGTTATTTAGGAAGGTACGTAAGGGAATTTGGATTGGTGTACAAAATATGGCATCATCTGTACGATATCTTGATTTTCGTAATTTAAAAGATAGCCTGTGGTATTTAGTTGTTCAGGGAAACCTGGAACTAAAGGATATGGCCAATGTGTGTTTAGATGTGGATAGATGTGTTTAGATCAATAGATGATAAGTTACTTCGCTTTTTATTTTATGCAAATTTTCAAAAAACTTATTGTGGCTTACCTTGTGGCCCAGGGTCTCCCATCACACCTTTTACTATAATTGTATGTGTAACTGGTTTAATTCCTTTTTCACCTTTTAGACCTATCAGACCAATTGCACCTTCATTACCCTTTGGTCCTGATTGACCTTCAGAACCTGTGTTTAACAGCAAGAAAAACAAAGAAACAAATGCACTTTGTTACTATTAGTAGCAGTACTTCCTTGCAGTTTTTTAATGGATTCAAAGTTCTGAAACTTGAAACCTTGAAATGTGTGTTCATCTCAGCCTCTGTGTATTCAGCCATTATTGACTAGTGAATAAACTGCAGTGCTGAATCAATAATCAGATTTAAAGTGATTTACAAAGGGACTAAATGTGATGCAAGAACAAACTTTCTCATTCCAGACCTAATTTGAGTAATTAGGTGTGGAATGCACTGCCTGAAAGTGTGATGGGGCAGTTATAATCGTACAGCACGGAAACAAATTCTTTGGTCCAACCAGCCCGTACCGACGATAATCCCAAACAGAACTAGTTTTGCCTGCATTCAAGAGGCATTCAAGACGGAATTGAATGATTAATAAAGTAGAAGTAACCTGCAGGGTTTCAGGGGGGAAAGCTGTAAATTGCCAGCAGGTAATGATGCTTTGAAGAGCTGGTGCAGACATGATGGGCCAAATGGCCATCTTCTATGCCATGACATTTTCGTGATTCTGTGATTCATGATCAAAAATTGCTTCCTATTTGCATTCTGTTTGTTTACGTATTCATTGACTCAGACCACAGGAACTGCATTGTGTGCAAGATGTTAGTGATTCAAATGAATCCTTAAGATGGGGATTTTCACATGGCATCTTTACTATCTCAGCTGCATTATCTCTGTGGGGATTAGTTGGGTACAGGAGGAACCCTTATTTACAGAAACCGATGTGGAGGTGTCAGTGTTGGACTGGAGTGGACAAGGTCAAGAATCACATGATACCAGGTTACAGTCCAACAGGTTTATTTGAAGAGACGAGCTTTCGGAGTCTTGCTCCTTCAGGTGTCAGTGAGAGAGGTAGCATTAGACGCAGACACACGAATTCACCCCATAGGTGGGTAGGTGTGTTAGTGTGAGAGAGAGTGAGTTTGTAATGAGACTCTCCCTCACACACACGCACATGTGTGCACACACAAATCTATGGGGTGAATTTGCATTTGCGGATTTGTAATTGCAGATACATTCTATTTTGTTCAAAAATCACACAAGTTGTGGACAGCCAATGCAGCATTTTATAAATTCTTACTTTGGAAATAAAACCAGTCTGACTCCAAGTTGATACACAGCCAGACTCCAAACAAGGCCTCACACCTAAAATACATTGTCTGACCTGGGATGTCATCACTGGTATACTGAAGGAACTGATAAAACCTTTGGTTATCTCAGGGCAGTGACTTGAGAGAAATTTTGGAATTTGCATATTAATCCTTTCTAACTGATTAAAGATTTAACAGCCATCTGAGGTTTGTTCAAAACATTTGCATCAGTTCTATGACCCTTTGATCTTTTGCTTATAAATTCTGTTTCTGATGCCAACTCTCTCACTGACATCTGAAGAAGGAATGACACTCTGAAAGCTTGTCTCTTCAAATAAACCTGTTGGACTATAACCTGGTGTTGTGTGCTTTTTTTTTGGCCTTGTACAGAAACTGAAGCAAACTCGGAGGGGGAACTAACTTCTCCCTTGCATACATATTGGTGGTTTTTTTACAAAAAAGCGTTACTGTTACCTTAAATCCTTCTACACTGTATTTTGGAACGTGAAGGAGAGCAGACAAACCACTTATCTCTGCCTCTGATGTTCCCTTATATGGGTCACCAGTTCATATCTAGGTAGTCTGGGTATTTGCCTTCACTATAACAGATTATTTTGGTCTATGTACCAACAATGATCTAGAATTATAATTTTAAAGATTGATGAATTTGTCATGAGTCTAAAAATAAGACTGGCAAATTCTAAAATCCACACAAATATTTGAAAGAGCATTGGATTTGAGTATCTTGAACAGTGCTGTACCCATAAATGTTCTAATTAAATTTGCCTAGCTAACAACAATCACTGCATTTACAAAGTGTAGATATTTTGATCATGTGAGAAGTTGCTATATGAATGAAAAATTTTTGTTTTGTTTCTACACCTGAATTCCATTACCTTTGTCTCCCTTGAGGCCTTGACATCCTCGTTCACCAGTTAGCCCTGGATTCCCTGGCTCTCCCATAACACCAGGTTCACCTTTTGGACCTGTTTGAAAATTGGGAACAATCAGACATGACCTGGAAATATTTATTTGGCAATGAATTTAGATCTTTTTCTGAGTTAAATATTGCAGTGATTCTTAATAAACTATTTATCACAAAGGCTTCTGGCATTCTCTGCTCAAATGCTGGTCTAATCCACAAACTCCTCCACAAGTATGACGAGGAGAAATGTTCTAAATCCACCACAGCAAGGATAGGTTCCAGTGCTGTTGGTACCAACCTGGCCCGCAATAGCCAACTGAGTTAATCAGATTCCCAAGGAGCCCGAGTTGCCCTGGCAATTTACACTTTTACATTCATATTTATAACTTAGAGCTATGAACAGTGATAATAGGGACTCCAATTTATTTCCATTAGTGGCTGATCAAGAATCTCTCCACTCGTATCATTGCCATTGTATGTTGGAAGGAGAGACCAGTTGATACTCAAATCTGTGGCCCTGGTATAAATTCACCTTCATGGCAGTTGAATTCTGGAGTGGGACTTAAACTGGAAGTTTCTGGCTAGAGGTGGGATACTAGAGGTAAATTTTGCACAGGGCTGCATTCTCATTACAGAGAGATGACTGTTGGTGGTGTAACCTGAGAATCGCCATGCCTCAGGTGAGGAGCAAGGTTGAGAAAATTGGACTTAAGTGGTGACCTCAGCTGTCACGGGAACGAACCCACCCTGTTGGTATTATTCTGTATTACAAACAACCCACGAACCCCATGGCAGGGAGACTATTGCTGTGCTAAAAAAGGACCTCTCTTCATCACTAATATTTTAGTGCAAACACCCGAGGGGTAAATAAGATTTTTTTCTTAGGAACAGAAAATGGTCCTGAGGCCAAATTAGTAATGTAAAACAGTGTGGCATTGACTACTTTTTATGCATACAGTTTGCAGATGACACAAAGGTAGGTGGAGGGACAGGTAATGTTGAGGAAGCAGGGAGGCTGCAGAAGGACTTGGACAGGCTAGGAGAGGGGGCAAAGAAGTGGCAGATGGAATACAATTGGGCAAGTGTGAGGTCGTGCACTTTGGTAGAAAGTATAGAGGTATAGACTATTTTCTAAATGGTGAAAGGCTTCAGAAATCTGAAGCGCAAAAAGACTTGGGAGTCCTAGTTCAGGATTCTGTCCAGGTTAACATGCAGGTTCATTTGAAAGTTGGGAAGTCAAATGCAATGTTAGCATTCATTTCATGAGGAGTAGAATACAAGAGCAGAGATGTACAGCTGAGGCTATAAAAGGCTCTGGTCAGACTGTATTTGGAATACTCTGAGCGACTTTCGGCCTTGTATTTAAGCAAGGATGTACAAGTCTTGAAGGGGGTCCAGAGAAGGTTTACAAGAATGATCCCAGGGATGAAAGGCATATCATACGGAGTGCAGATGAGGACTTTCGGTCTTTACTTGGAGTTTAGAAAGATAGGGGGGTATTTCATTAAAACTTGCAGAATATTGAGAGGCCTGGGCATGGAGAAGATGTTTCCACTCCTGGGAGAGACTAGGTCCCAAGGGCACAGCCTCAGAGTGCAGGAATGACCAATTAAAACTGAGATGAGGAAGAATTTCTTCAGCAGAGCTTAGTTAATCTGCGGAACTCATTGCCGCAGAGGGCTCTGGAAGCCAAGTCATTGAGTGTATTTAAGACAGATAGATGGGTTGTTGATTAGGAAGGGGTCAAGGGTTATGGGTAGAAGGCAGGAGAATGGATTGAGATATGTATCAGCCATGATTGAATGGCAGAGCAGACTTGGTTCTCCTCCTGTAATTTTATTGTTAGAGAGCTCAAAAGTCAGCCCAACTTGTAAATATCCAGATGTATATTTTACATAATTTAAGACCATAAGACATAGGAGCAGAAATTAGGCCATTCAGCCTATCGAGTCTGCTCTGCCATTCAATCATGGCTGATACGTTTCTCAACCCCATTCTCCTGCTTTCTCCCCATAACCCTTGATCCCTCTGACAAAGAAGTACTTATCTATCTCTGTCTTAAATGCACTCAATGACCTGGCCTCCACAGCCTACTGTGGCAGTGAATTCCATAGATTCATCACTCTCTGGCTAAAGAAGTTTCTCCTTATCTCCATTCTAAAAGGTCTTCCCTTTACTCTAAGGCTGTGCCCTCAGGTCCTAGTCTCTCCTATCAATGGAAATATCTTTCCAACATCCATTCTGTCCAGGCCATTCAGTATTCTGTAAGTTTCAATTAGGTACCCCCTGATCCTTCTAGACTCCATAGAGTATAGATTCAGAGTCTTCAAATGTTCCTCATGTGTTAAGCTTTTCATTCCTGGGACCATTCTCGTGAACCTCCTCTGAACCTGGTCCAGGGCCAGTATATCATTGCTGAGATATGGGGCCCAGAACTGCGCACAATATACCAAATGTGGCCTGACCAGGGCCTTATAGAACCTCAGAAGTACATCCCTGCTTTTATATTCAAGTCCTCTCAAAATAAATGCCAAAGTTGCATTTGCCTTCCTTACTACAAACTCAGCCTGCAAGTTTACCTTGAGAGAATCCTGGACTAGAACTCCCAAGTCTCTTTGCACTTCAGACTTCAGAATTTTCTCCCTATTTAGAAAATAGTCCATACCTCTATTCTTCTTAATAAAGTGCATGACCTCACACTTTCCCACGTTGTACTCCATCTGCCACTTCTTTGCCCACTCTCCTAACCTGTCCAAATCCTTCTGCAGCCTCGCCACCTCCTCAATACCCACTGGTGCCTTCACCTATCTTTGTACTGTCTGCAAACTTAGCCAGAAAGCCCTCAGTTTTTTCATTTAGATAATTAATATGTAAGGTGAAAAGTTGTTATCCCAACACTGACCCTTGTGGAACACCATTTGTCACCGGCTGCCATCCAGAGAAAGACCCTTCTAACCCCAATCTTTGCATTCTGCCAGACAGCCAATCTTCTATCCACGCTAGCACATTGCCTCTAACACCATGGGCCTTTATCTTACTCAGCAGCCTCTTGTGCGGTACCAAGTCAAAGGCCTTCTTGAAGTCCAGATCGATAACATCTGTTGGCTCTCCTTGGTCTAACCTGCTCGTTATTTCCTCAAAGAATTCTAACAGATTTGTTAGGCATGACCTCCCCTTGATGAAGTCATGCTGACTTTGCCCTATTTTACCATGCATTTCCAAGTATTCAGAAATCTCATCCTTCACAATGAACCCTAAAATCTTACCCACAACTAAGGTTAGGCTAACTGGCCTGTAATTTTCAGTCTTTTGCCTTACTACCTTTTTAAACAGGGGTGTCAAGTTTGCGATTTTCCAGTCCTCTGGGACCCTCCCTTACTGTAGCGATTCCTGAAAGATCACCACTAACGTCTCTACTATCTTTTCAGCTTTCTCCTTAAGAACTCTGAGCTGTAGTCTATCTGGTCCTGGTGATCTATCCACCTTCAGGCCATTCAGTCTTTCTCGCACCTTCTCCTTGGTGATGGCCACCATACTTAGCTCTGCCCCCTGACACACTCGAATTTTTGGGATATCACTCATGTGTTCCACTGTGAAGACTGACGCAAAGTAATTATTCAGTTCCTCAGCCATTTCCTTGTTCCCCACTACTGTCTCTCCACCGTCATTTTTCAGCGGTCCAATGTCCACTTTTGCCTCTCTTTTGCCCTTTTATATGTCTAAAGAAACTCTTACAGTCTTCCTTTATATTACTGGCTAGCTTACCCTCATATTTAATTTTCTCCCTCCTTATTTCTCTTTTTGTTGCCCTCTGTTGGTCTTTGTGAGCTTCCTAATCATCTGGTTTCCCACTGCCCTTCACCACATTATATGTTTTCTCTTCTGCTTTTATGTTGTCCCTGACCTCCCTAGTCAGCCATGGTTGCCTTATTGTCCCTGTACCATGCTTCTTTTTCCTAGGGATGAATTTTTGTTGTGTCTCTTGAATTACTGCTAGAAACTCCTGCCATTGCTGTTCCACTGTCTTTCCTAGTCGGCTTCTCTCCCCGTCAGTTCTGCCCAGTTCCTTCCTCATGCCTCTGTAGTTGCCTTCATTCAGCTGTAATACCATTACCTCTGATTCTATCTTCTCCCTCTCAAATTGCAGAGTAAATTCAATCAGATTATGATCACTGCCTCCTAAGGGTTCCTTCACCTTAAGCTCCTTATCAAGTCTGCCTCTTTGCACAACGCTAAATCCAGTATTGCCTGTTCCCTAGTGAGCTCCACCACAAGCTGCTCCAAAAAGCCATCTCGTAGACATTCCACAAATTCCTTTTCTTGCAATCCACTACCAACCTGATTTTCCTAGTCCACCTGTATATTGAAATCCCCCATGATCACCGTAACTTTGCCTTTCTTACACACCTTTTGTATCTCCTGGTGAATCTTACGCCCCAGCTCCTGACTACTGTTTGGAGGCCTGTACATAATTCCAACTATGGTTTTTTACCTCTGTGGTTCCTCAACTCTACCCACACAGATTCTACACCATCTGACCCTACTTCATTTCTCACTATTGATTTCATTTCATTTCTTACTAATAAGTCAACCCCACCCCCTCTGCCCACCTGCCTATCTTGTCGATAAGATGTATATCCTTGGATATTCAGCCCCAATCCTGATCCCCTTGCAGCCATATCTCTGTGATGCCCACCACATCATAGCTCATTTACCTTTTGTCTTATATTGCGTGCATTCAGATATAACACCTTCAGCTCAGTATTAACCGTCCCACTTCTCATTGTCACTCGTTTATCCAGTGTGCTTGAAGTTTGATTCCTAACCCTATCCAAAAACTCTGTCCTATTTGTGTCTGTGCTGGAGACTTTAATAACCTCTCCTGAGTTCTCCTTTCCTGTCATTTTTTTCATATTTTTCCACACAATGGAATCTACCCCTACAGATGTTAGCCTGTTGCTTTGTTCCCCACTGGGAGAAGTTTTACCCTTCCCTTCCCCTCCACTTTCTAGTTTAAAGTCCTGTTGACCAGCCTATTTACCCTTTTCTCTAGAAAATTGGTTCCAGCTCGGTTCAAGTGGAGACTGTCCCAACGGTACAGATCCCTCCTGTTCCAATACTGATGCCAGTGCCCCATGAAAAGGAACCTCTCTTTCCACACCACTCTTTTAGCCACGTGTTTACTTCCCTTATTCTTGTATCCCTATGCTAATTTGCACATGGCTCGGGAGTAATCTGGAGGTTATAACCCTTGAGGACCTGCTCTTCAGTTTCGTTCCTAGCTCCTGATAATCCCTGAACAGATCCTCTTTCCTAGTCTTGCCTATGTCGTTTGTTCCGATGTGGACCACAACAACTGGATCTTCCCCCTTCCTCTCCAATATCCTTTCAAGTTGGTCAGATATATTATTCATCATTGTAAGAATATATAAAACACTTTACCTGATCTCCCTGGTACTCCTGGTCGTCCTGGATTCCCCAGAGAACCTCTTGGTCCAGGAGGGCCTGAACAGCCTGGAGTTCCAACAGATCCAGGAGTACCAGGGAGGCCTGGAATACCCACTCCTGGAATTCCTGGATCCCCAGTAGGCCCTCTAGTTGTTATTCCTGTAAAAATAAATAGTATATTTAGAATGATTAGAAAACCTGTACGTAATGTCAGGGAACATGGAGGAATCTGTAAGAATTTTAACACAAGGCTTTGTACAGAATTTGGAACACCATTACTTTCCAGCATGAAACCATGAAGGGTTAGGATTAGGGTCTGATGGCTGATGTTTTAGTTTCCATTGCAACACAAGCAGCAGCCAGACAACATTTCAGTCGTGCAGTAGAAGCTGAAACTGCTGCCACAGTGACTGTGAATGGCCATATTCAAAGGGACTACAGATTACTACAGCTGTTGAGACATCACACCTGGCAAGTAGCAAAAACACATGTGGTGCATGAACCCGTTGTTCTCTCTCAAGATGACACAATTCTTTATCTCGTCATGGTGACTCCATCAGCACTTGCTGTTGTCTCTCATCCTGCCAGCTTTCACTGAGGTGATGGAGTCCAAAGTGAGATTTTCTGGGCTCAAAGGTGCTCGTGGTCATCCTCTATGAAATTCTGTAGTCTCCCACATTGAAAATCAGTAGCCTTCCACCAGCAATGCTACAATTCTGGGGGATGCATCTAGTAGAAAATTATAGTCTTTATAAGACTTATTATTAGATTATTTAAGGAATTCAAAGTGATTAAACTTCTCAAGCTCATTAATATCAGTTACAGCTACCTTCTCCATGGCAAAGCATTCGTGAATCGGATTCCACTTGCCAATCAATCAATCAATCAGCACTCTCCTCACATACAGTATAAATGTTATTTTCCCCTTATGTTGGTATTCTTACAAGTACGAGACAAAAAGCTTTGGCGAAATGCATATTTTTACAGCAATACTCAAGATCCTGTATTATCAAACAACCACTGTGAATTCCCTAAAGAATCTAGTATTACTTAAGTTTGATAGAGAAAACAAAATACAAATATTGCATATATGTAATTTGTAAATTTATGTAATAATAAATTAGTCTGTTAGACTAAGCACTGAAAAAACAATAGAAATGTAGAAAGTGATATTAAGCAGAGAGAAGAAGCAATTTTAGACTTTGCACTCCTGGTCTTATTTGTACAGGCTGTACATTTGAAGTTTGGGCAAATGCTGCTTATGATTTTCCAACCCATTAAATCAGTTATGATAACATTGTGGGCGGTGAGACAAAATTTCTAACAGGTGCTCTTGACATATGAGGCTGTTTCTTGGGAGGTTGAAGTTTGAACATTACTCCTGAAATTTCTTTCTAAGGGATTTTGACGAATGAACCTCTGAATAATTTTGTCTCAGTTCATTAGTTTATGCATTTTGTTTTGAACTGAAAAAGAGGGATTAGGGTGTTTTTTAGAAGCACAAAGTTAAATAGGTTGGATGTCCAATGTGATTTGGGGGTTCAGATATATAGCAATGGCCTAGTGGTATCACTGACTGTTAATCCAGAGACCCAGATGGCATTCTGGGGACCCAGGTTCAAATCCCGCCATGGCAGATGGTGGAATTTTAATTCAATAAAATAGCTGGAATTAAGAATCTAATGACTATGAACCCATTATCGATTGTTGGAAAAACCCATCTGGTTCACTAATGTCCTTTGGGGAAGGAAACTACCACCCTTATCTGGCTTGGCCTACATGTGACTCTAAAACTGCACTCTGGGCAATTAGGGATGGCAATAAATGCTGCCTGGTCAGTGATGCCCTCATCCCATCAGTGAATAAAGAAAAAATGACACCAATAGGTGCAGAAAATAGTCAAGAAGGCTAATGGAATGCTGGCCTTCACATCTAAAGGGCAGGATTATAAGGATGTGCTGCAATTATACAATAGCATCAATAGACCCCACTTACAGTACTGTGAGCACATTTGGGCACTACACCTTAGGAAGGATGTTTTGGTTCTGGACAGACTTCAGTACAGGTTTAGAAGGATGATACGTGGACTTCAGGGGTTAAGTTATGAGGAGAGATTAGACAAGTTAGGGCATTATTCTCTAGAATTTAGAAGGTTAAGGGATGATCTAATCAGGATTTTCAGGATATTTACGGGGAAAGACGGTAGATAAGGATAAACTATTTACAATGGTTGAAGATTCTAGAACAAGGGGGCATAGTCTAAGAATTAGGGCCAGGCCATTCAGGAGAGATGTTAGAAAGTACTTCTACACTCAAAGAGTAGTGGAAGTTTGGAACTCTCTTCCTGAAATGGTGGTCAATGCTAATTCAGTTGCTAAATTTAAATCTAAGATAGACATATTTGTATTAAATAAGGACATCAAGGGATATTGGCCCAAGGCAGGCGTATGGTTTTTGGCAACAGATTAGGCATAATCTTATTGTATGGTGGAGCAGGCTCAAGGGAATGAACGGCCTACTCCTGTTTTTAATTTCTTACAGTCTTGTAGAATTGAATACGATGAATCCCATAATTTACTGTGGTCCAATGAGAGAAGTGAGGAGATTGAAAATATCAAATGAGATAAATTAAGTGGATGAGTTAAGAAAAAGAAGACTGGATTTAATGCCAAGTAAGGTCAATATGATCAAACATCTAGTTACAATGGAATACTAATAATGATACTAAACCATTTACAAATACATTCCTTTATTATTCTCTATTGTTCAGGTGATGTGGTGGCACAGTGGTTAGTACTGTTGCCTCACAGCGCCAGCGGACCCAGGTTTGATTCCAGGCTTGGCGTGGAGTTTGCACATTCTGTGTGGGTTTCGGCTGGGTGCTCTGGTTTTCTCCCACAGTCCAAAGATATGCAGCTCAGGTGCATTGGCCATGCAGGGATAGGTTGGGAGGGGCAGTGAGTCTAGGTGGGATGCACTTCAGAGAACCGGTGAGGACGTGATGGGCCAAGTGGCCTTGTCCAGCGCTGCAGGGATTTTATTAGCAACTAATATTTTAAATGACAACAAAAGTGCATTATTTTCTGTCAACAATAAAATTAAAAATAAATAATATAATCTTAGTACCTTGTAGACCAGGTGGACCAGGTGGGCCTTCAGAACCTTCAGGTCCAGGTATCCCTTTACCTGGTTGTCCACGTGGACCTGTTGGCCCCTGAATACCAGGACTTCCGAGGTCACCTGCAAAGTGGAAGTTAAAGCTCTATGAAATACACATGTGTGCACACACTTTTCTGATCCTGACAGAATTGGACAGTGGCTGGTAAAGCCTTTGCTTCCATGCAGGTTTGACAGTTATTAACTAACTTTTCCTCCATTTGTTGAAATGCCGAACCTATTCACCCCGCTACCCAAATATAGTAGAGTAGATCTAGACATTCACAAGTCTAAAACCTGCACACTGAGCATGACCCTGTGATCAAGCCCTCAACTGATAAGGTGCAATTTGCTAGAGTTTACGATAGGGACCATAAAAATCAGTGCATTCCTTGCACATATGTGGAAAAATAACTAGTTATTGCAAAAATTAAAAAAATGTATGGTTCTCTGTTTGCAGCCATTGCATTTGCTTGTTCAGACGGTAATGACATCCAACAAGCACAAAAATGACTAGCTCTGATCATCAGATGACTTATGGGCATCTTCAGCTTTTTCTCATCCTATTTTAGCAATATTTGACAGCTACTTTTATATTCAGAAACAGAATTCAATACCTCGTGGACCTTGAGGACCACTGCGACCAGGACGCCCTTCTTCTCCAGGCAGTCCAGGAGGACCTGAATTACCCTTCTCCCCTGGTGGTCCAACATTTCCTGCAGGACCTGGTGGACCATGATTGCCTGGCAGTCCAAAACGTCCATCACCCTGAAAAACAATACAATATTTTTCATGTAGCTTAGAAGTTTTTGGCTTGATCTTTCTGAATTCATCAGCATCAAAAGATGAGGTTCATGTGTTTGTCAAACACCTTGAAAGTTCCATTAATGATGCAGAAGTTGAGATATGGAATCTACTGTCTAAGGATGTGATATAAGGAGGTTCTATTAATGTATTCAAAAGAGTTAAAATGTTATTTGAAAATAAAGATAGAGCAGGGTTACAGGGAGGAGGCTAGAAATTGCAACTACGTGAAATGTGAATTTGAAGAACCAATGCAAGCATGATGGGCTGAATGGCCTCCTGCAGTATGATAATTCTGTGGTTTTATTTCATTTTGATATTTTTAGAAACATAATTCAGGATTTTAACTGGTTGAATTAAATAACAACAAACAGCCTTGTCTTCCCTCTTTTCCAACAAAACAAGTAGGCCAAGTTCAGTCTAAAGCCATTTTCTCGAGACTTTACTTCCGGGAAACCATAGCTTCAAAATGTCTTTAAGTCTCAGTTAGTATTATATACCTGCAATTTAGTGTTCAATTACCCCAGTCCCAATAGGATTACTTAGATGCTTGTGTAATTTAAGACGATCTCTGCATGAAAATTCCTTCACTGTCACTGGGTCAAAATCTTGGCTTTCCCTCCCTAAGAGAATTGAGTGTCAACCTACAGCACATGGACAGCAGCTGTTCAAGAAGGCAGCTCACCAACACCTTCTCAAGGGCAACTAGAGGTGGGCAATAAATGCTGGCCAACCAGCAATGCCCACAAATGAATAAAAAAAAAAATGATTACTTGAATGACGGACAGATAAATTCAAATGCTGTAGGTCATTTCAAATCCTAGAATGCTGATAATCTGGTACCAAACTTCTGTATGATTATATTAGTGTAATTTGTGTATTTGTGTAGGAAACTTGTGACAAAGGACTGAAATACAAACATATTAAAATATTCTACAACTGTACCATGCTAAAACAGTATTCTATTCTATTGATTTAACTGAGTTGGATATGTATGCAAGATTTTGCATTCTTGCCAACTGTTTTACTCCTCTTACTCATCCATTCAAATATTTCTGCACACAAGCATTTACGCTGAGGAAAATATGCATCATAAAGATATTGTGACTGTTGGAATTTTTTACAAGGCTACCTTAAAGGTCTGAAAGTAAAACTATGGGCTTATTCTTCATATGATTAAGAATTTGAGATTCTTGCTGGTAAACTAACCTTAGGACCAGTGACTCCTGGCAACCCTGGTGTTCCAGGTGCTCCTGGTCTTCCTGGAGTTCCTAGAGGACCCAATACTCCAGGAGGCCCTGGGTTTCCTATAACACAGTAAAGTATATGGAAAGAGTTAATTTAGGGTTACACTTAGTAGAGACAGCAGCAGGGAAATTATTCATAATTGTCTAGGATAATGAAAACTGTTTTACATAATGTTCTGAAGTAGAAAATCTTTGATTAAAACAATAATAGAAAATGGTTTTAGATATTCCTAAATAGAAAGAAACAGCACACTACATTGCAAAACTCCTAATGCAGTAAAGATTATCTTCCTTTTGTCCACTTGAAGATTCCAGATACACCGATGTTCCCAGCTCAGAGGATGGGCTGCAGACTTGCAGCCAAGTATCTGACAATGTCATTTATTGGCTCCCACAGCTTTAAAATGCTTCTTTATGACATTAAAGCTATTTGTTAGTATTTCTGTTTGTTGGCACAGTGTCAGAGTGGAATTATTGGTGTAAATATACATTGTAATAATTCTTGGTACCGCTGCAGCATCCATAACTAATGCAGCTAAGATAACAAGGTGTAGAGCTGGATGAACACAGCAGGCCAAGCAGCATCAGAGGAGCAGGAAGGCTGATGTTTTGGGCCTAGACCCTTCTTCAGAAATGGGGGAGGGGAAGGGGGTTCTGAAATAAATAGGGAGAGAGAGGGAGGCGGATAGAAGATGGATAGAGGTGACGATGGGTGGAGAGGAAACAGACAGGTCAAAGAGGCGGGGATGGAGCCAGTAAACGTGAGTGTAGGTGGGGAGGTAGGGAGGAGATAGGTCAGTCCAGGGAGGACGGACAGGTCAAGGGGGCAGGATGAGGTTAGTAGGTAGGAGATGGGGGTGGGGCTTGAGGTGGGAGGAGGGGATAGGTGGGAGGAAGGACAGGTTAGGGAGGCGGGGTCGAGCTGAGCTGGTTTTGGGATGCGGTAGGGGGAAGGGAGATTGGAATTCATTCTGATACTTGATGCCAGATGGACAGATCATATGAATTTCACAATTTACCAAGCCAATGTAATTGCAATTATTATCAAAACACAAAGCATTATGAGAGAGCACTACAGCCACAAGCTGAATCTTGGAGAGGGGAACGTGGCTTACTGTGACTTTTGGGCAACCAATGTTGCAACAAGTGTTTGTCAGTATTGGGTGATCCACAGCAATGTTTTGATACACTTCATTGAATACAGTTCAATGTCACTATTGCAACCTGAATCAATTATATAAATGTGCGTCACCTAAACAGCAAAAAGTGTGTAGGAGATAGCTGGAACAATATACTGGGAATAATATACTGATCCCACAGCTTTCAAGATCTTTATTCTACCTCACTGTTATTTTGTTGTGGAGAAAATGCCACCAGATTAGACCCCCCATGGCATTACTGGGGCTAATGCAGAAACCCAAAGACCAACATTGCTGCTGCGTTCTTCAGACAGAACTGCTGCAGTCCATATGGCATTCCAGTTTGAAAGGTCGCTATCAAGGGCACACCATAAATATATCTGAAGCCTACAGAGTGGGCAAATTATGATGTCAGTCAGTTTTCATGCTGGAAAGGATGGGCACCTAGCTCTGTTGAAAGCACTGCCCTGTCGAAGCCTCCATGCTCCTTGATAGTGACAAACGGATCACTAATGCATCAAACCTCAGTATATACTCCTAGCAGCGTTCTTCTATATGTTATCCTATCAAAGTCTTATCATTACCCATATGCAACAAGACCTGTACCACATTTTGGGTTGAGTTGATAAGTGGTAAGGAACATTCATGCCACACAACTGCCAGAGCTATAACCGTCTCCAAGGACAAATTCTAACCTTTGCACCATGACATTCAAAGGCATGAACATCACTGAAACCCACTGTCAACATCCTGGAATCACTACTGACTGAAACTAAACTGGCTCAGCCAGTTAATGTTGTGGCTAGAAGAGCACACTTGAACCTGGGAATTCTCTGCTGAGTAACTCACCTCCTGACACCTCAAAGCCTGTTAATATCAAAGGCACAAGTCAGGAGTGTGATGGGATCCTCTCCACTTGCCTGGATGGGTGAAGCTCCAACAACACTCAAGAAATCAACACCATCCAGGACAAAGCAGCCCACTTGATTTGTAAACCATTCACCTTCTCCAAAATTCATTCACTTCACCACCGACACTCAGTATGAGCAGTTCGTACCATCTACAAAATACACTGCAGTAACTCACCAAATGTCCTTCCACGGCATCTTCCGAATCCACGACCACTATCATCCAGAAGGACAAGGACATAAGATACATGGGAATACCCCAACTACAAGTTCCCGTCCAACCTTACACTCACCATCCTGATTTTGAACCAAATCTCTACTCCTTCATTGTCACTGAGTAATAATCTTGGAACTCCCTCTCTAATGCACGGTGAGTGAACATACACTCCGAGGACTGCATCAGTTCAAGGCAGCAGCTCATCACCACCTCCTCAAGAGCATCTTGGGATGGGCAATTCATCATCATTGTCTGCAAAACCCATGTTTCATGACAAACAGAAAAAACCCCGTGTTTCCTTCTGGGGAATTGGCATGCATGATCATTTCCCTCTGGCTGGCTATAGCTCTCTCCTAACAGTCATATGCTGATCCTACCTCTATCCTAGTGTCAGAACTCCGCTGTTTCTTCTGCCCTTTGTGTTGTAGCTATACTGGTTGGCAAAGTGACAAATCTTGGGTATCTTAAAACAGGATTGTGGAAGGGAAGGGCTGGGTTGAGGGAAGAGGGTTGGATTGGAAAGTAAGAGTTTACACCAGTAGCTTGCACCTTGTATCAAAAAGAAGGATGAGATTGAAGTAGGACTTGTGAAGGTGCCTAAAATTGGCCCACAGCATCATGCCACATGTTCTCAACAACATTTGAGGCAACAACTTCATTTACTGCTGGCTCATTGTCTGGTCCAAGTGGCTTAGATTTGCAAATGGTCCCTCCATATAGTTGCCTCCTTTAATGTAAAACCTTGTCCAACGAAAATGAGGGAAGTGTCATTAAGTGCGTTGCACTGTGTTCGGTTGATGTGCCTGTCGTAGCTGAACAGCTGATATTATGTGAAGGAAGTGTGAGGCTGGCAGCTTTGGTCAGTTCATGAGGGTGTGTTGGAGTATCTGAATGCTGATGAGTGTGTGATGGCTGGGATGCATTGAGCCGCGTGATGGGATGGATGTGTGCTGAGTTGGGCATGCCATTGGAAAATGCATTCACTGACTTTGACTATCTGTATAAGGTCCCTGAACATTTTCTCACGCTGCTGACAGATCCTGACAACCAATCCCCTAGAATTGGCCATCATAAGCATGTGCTTGTAACCCCTTTGCAGCAATGTTTGGACAGCTTCCTGACCTCCTGCAGAAACATCACTTCTTCTCTTTTCCAACTTCTAGCACAGTATCAGAGAACCTAGTAGTTCTATCTTTAGCCTGTTGCTGTCTTGGTAATTTTCTTCCCTCCTTCAAAGATTTTCAGACAGTTCTACATGGTGCTGCAACCTGAATGCATCTCTCCATTAAGAGGTTTCAATTAAAAATGAATCTTGTCTTCTTTATTACTAGATGCTTGAATTAGAAATCCAATGAGGTTAATAACGTTCCAAAATTTGAATATTGCAATAGACATTGGATTATTGTATTACTCAAACTCTAACAAGTTAGTTTTCGGAACTTTCTTTTTTAACCTCTTGTGCTAGTTTATCCTTAAGTTTGCATCACACAAAAGTGAATTGAAAAAAATGCAAGAAACCACATGAAGAACCATTTTGTACCTTTAAGACCTGGAGGACCAGTTGATCCTTTCTCTGAATGTCCAGTTTCTCCCTTTTCTCCTGGAGGACCTGGAGAACCATCTCGACCTGGAGGTCCAGGGTTCCCTGAAAGCACAATATTAAAGTTTATCATCTCAATCTGTCTCAGCACTGAGAACTTCCACGATCCTCAATATTGGAAGCCTCCAATGCATACATATTTATAAACACTACAATGCTACTCAGCTGTGAAACCCCTCGATAGTAACCTTCTAAATGCAGATGTTCAAAGTGACTAAGGATGAACAAGCTTACTGTCCCTCCAGCATTTTAAAATATTTTCCTGGGAGTTTCTTGTGGGTGTTGCTGGTAAGGCCAACATTTATTAACCATCCTGAATTCACCTTGAGAAGGTGGTGAAGATCCACTTTGGTGAACAGTTTCTGTCCATATGGAATAGAGGTGTGTACTATTAACAAATTGGCCAAAGAAGGGAAAAAATAGCAAACTGCCCTTACCTCAAGAAATTACACAGAATTGTCATTCTGATGTCTTGGATTGTGCTGGAACTCATCAACCCCTTCTCAGAGTGGAGAGAGCAATTCTCCACATAACAGATGTGTTTATATACTGTCTAGTTATAGGTTTAGTAGTCAAATAACTCAAATCTAAATCAGTGCAGTTCCAGTATATGATGCTACAGTGGAATTGTAATAATATTGCTATTCCCAACTATAAGTGTCATAGTGATAGATACACACAGCCCTTCAGTCCATTAAGTCTGTACTGGCCTATCTACACTGATTCCACTTTAAAGCACTTGGCCCATAGCCTTGAATATTATGACATTTCAGGTTCTCTGGTGAAAACATTTCAAAACCCTTTCAAATTTCCTGTGCTTCATCTTAAAATTACGCCCCTTCATTATTGACCTTTCAACTAAGTGGAACAGCTGATTCCTACCCATCCTGTCCATGCCCCTCTTAACCTCCTTTACTTATATACCTCTATCAGCTCCTCCCTCAACTTTCTTTGCCCCAAGAGAATAACCGGAGCTTACCCAGCCATTCTTCATAACTGAAATGCTCCATCCCAGGCAACATTCTGGTGAATCTCCTTCGCACCCCCTCCTGTGCAATCACATCCTTGCTATAATGCGATGACCAGAACTGCACACAGTATTCTAGTAATGGCCTAACCAAGATTTTGAATGGTTCCAACGAAATCTTTTGCTGTTGTAATCTATGCCACAACTGATAAAAGCAAGTGTCCCATATGCGTTCTTGACTACCTTACTAACCTGTCCTGCTGACTTCAGGGACCTGTCGACAAGCACCTCAAGATCCCACTGTTCCTCTGAGCTTCCTAGTGTCCTGCCGTTCATTGAGCACTCCCTTGTCTTGTTCCTTCTCTTAAAGTGCATCACCTCACACTTATCAGTGTTAAATTCCATCTGCCACTGAACTGGCCATCTGACCAATCTATTCATATCTTCCCGTAACCTAACACCTTCTTCCTCACTATTAACTACCTGGCCAATCTTTGTGTCATCCACAAACTTACTAATCACTCCCTCCAAATTTTTTCAATATCATTTACATAAATCATGAACAATAAGGAACCCAGCACTGATCTCTGTGGTACACCACTAGACGCTTGTCTCCAGAAACACAAACAGCCTTTTAACACCACCCTCTGTCTCCCGTCACTAAGCCAATTTTGGATCCATCTTGCCAAGTTACCTAGGATCACATGAGCTTGTATCTTCTTTATCAGTCAAGCATGTTGGACCTTGTGAAAGGCCTTGCTGAAATTGTATAAGCTATATCAACTGCAATACCCTCCTCCAACACACCTGGGTGTCCCATCATGTCAGGCAATGGGACCCTGTGTGAGACCCTCTCTGGCTATGTCGAGAGCATCGTGAAACCCGTTGTATGGGGAACCCCCCCACATCTTGTCACGACACTACAGATTTCTTACAGAAACTCAACACCCACGGACCAGTCGAACCAGGAACATTCCTCATCACAATGGACATTTTGGCACTCTACACCAGCATCCCCCATTACGATGGCATCGCTGCAACAGCCTCAGTACTCAATACCACCAATTGCCAATTTCCAGACGCCATCTTACACCTCATCCACTTCATCCTTGACCACAATATCTTTGCTTTTGACGATCTGTTCTTCATCCAGACACACAGAACAGCCATGGGGACCAGATTTGCTTCCCATTATGCCAACATTTTCGTGCACAGGTTCAAACAAGACTTCTTTGCTGCACAGAGCCTCCGACTAGTGCTATACATCAGATACATTGATGACATTTTCCTCCTTTGGACTCATGGCGAGGAATCACTAAAACGACTATATAGCGATATCAACAAATTTCGTCTCACCATCAGACTTACCATGGACTATTCTTTAGTCTCATTCTAAGACATACACATCTCCATCAGGGATGGACACCTCAGTACCTCACTGTACTGCAAGCCTGTGGATAGCCTCATGCTGCTGCAATTTTCTAGCTTCCACCCTAAACCTATTAAAACAGCCATCCCCTACGGACAAGCCCTTTGCACGCACAGGATCTGTTTGGATGAGGAGGAACGAGACAGACATCTGAAGGTGTTGAAGGATGCCCTCATAGGAACAGGATACTCATCGATCGCCCATTCCGATGTGCCACAGCGAAAAACTGTAATGACCTCCTCAGAAGACAGACGTGGAATATGTCTAATAGGGTACCCTTTGTCGTCCAGTACTTCCTGGGAGTGGAGAAACTACACCATGTTCTTTGCAGCCTTCAACACACTATTGCTGATAATGAGCACCTCACCTAGATTTTCCCTATGCCTCCACATCTCACCTTCAAACAACCTTCAAACCTTAAATAGACCATTGTTTGTAGCAAACTACCCAGACTTCTGGGCAACATCGACCACAACACCATACAGCCCTGTCATGGCAACCTCTGCAAGACATTTCAGATCTTTGACGTGGACACTACCATCACACGTGGGAACACGCCCACCAGGTGCATGGAAGGTACTTGTGACTCGGCTAATGTGATCTGCCTCATTCACTGCAGGCAAGGATGCCCTGAGGCATGGTATATTGGATAAACCATGCATATGCTAAAATAATGGACGAATGGACACCGTGTAACAATCGCCACACAGGAATGTTCCCTCCCAGTGGTCAAGGACATTTGACTTTGAATCTTTGGGTAAACATCCTCCAAGGCGGACTTCAGGATACACAACAACACAGTTGCCGAGATCAGGTTGATAGCCAAGTTCGGGACCGATGAGGATGGCCTCAACCGGGATCTTGGGTTCATGTCGAACACGTTCGCTCTTTGCACCCCCCCTGCCCACAAACAAACAAACAAACAAACAAACACACACACACACACACACACACACACACACACACACACACACACAGTCTCTCTGTCTCTCTCCCACATACACACACAGTCTCTCTCTCCCACACACTCACTCACTCATGCACACACTCACTCATGCACACACACAGTTTCTATCTCTCCCACACACATGCACATGCACACACGGTCTCTCTCTCTCTCCCGCCACACCCACACACACTGTCTCCCCCTCGCGCATGTGCACACTGTCTCCCTCACACACGTGCGCTCTCTTCCTCACGCATGCGCATACTCTCTCTCTCTCCCTTGCGCATGCGCGCTCACTCACTCTCCCTCCTGTATGCGCGCACACGTAAATCTATGGAGTGAATTTGTATTTGCAGATACATTCTATTTTGTTCAAAAAGCACACAGTTTATAGACAGTCAGGCAATGTGGCATTTTATAAATTTCTACTTTAGAAATAAAACCAGTCTGACTCCAAACCAAAACACAAACCAAAACAAGGTCTCACATCTAACATGCATTGTCTGACCTAAAATGTCACCTCTTATTTACACTGATAAAATTCTAGTTCTCACAGGACAGTGACTTGAAAGGAATTTGGGGATTTACATTTACATATTAATCAATTAAAACCTTCTAACTGATTAAAGATTTAACAGCATTTTAGGTTTGTTTAGTACATCCTCATCAATGGTGTGACCCTTTGATCTTTTACTTGTAAATTCTGAGTTTGGTACTATCTCTATCTGTCTAACACCTGAAGAAGGCGTAAGGCTCCAAAAGCTGGTGTTTTCAAATAATCCTGTTGGACTATAACCTGGTGTCATGTGATGTCTGACCTTGATCACACCAGTCCAACACCAGCACCTCCGCTTCGCAGTTAGGATTGTCATCCAAAATAACTGTGACAAGAGAGGAATGCAATGGAGGAATCTCTAAACTTTCTCAGTGCTGTCTGGCCTTGGGAGACAGGACCGGCAGATGATCTGAAGAATCTTTGGAAAATAGATGAAGTCTGAGGGCACGAATTGTATCAGAAAATGGCTCAAACAGTAAGTAGCAATAGACCAAATGTCTTCTTCTGCGCATCAGTTTTTCCAATATTAGCATGGATGTCTTGGTGGGATATTCACTTATTGCTAAATTTATCTACACAAAAGGATCTGTACTTACCTGGAAAACCCGCTGGTCCAGTAGCTCCTGTTTCACCACGAAGTCCTGTTGGGCCTGGGACTGCGGACTCATTATTCTGCTCCCCTTTCTCACCTACAACAAAGAGCAGCAGTGACAGAGTTAGTGAATGGAACTATGAAAGAAAATATTGTATATAATCCAGGACACTATTTCATATCATCTTAACAACATAGCATGAAAATGCCAGCAGGAACTGAATCACCCAATCCTTTCGTGGTGTTTCTCTAAGATGAATTGCTGTGGGGAAGCAGAGTAAAACAAAACTAAGAGAAGCAAAATTTAGATAACGCTGATAAAGTTTTGGGAGAAACTCATGCACTGCCACGGATGATGCACAACTAAACAGCTTCAGAAATTCAAGCTGAGGTTGCAATTTTACTTTAGAATTATAGAAACTTGACAGTGCAGAAAGAGGCCATTTGGCCCATTTAGTACGCACTGACCCTCTGAAGAGCGTCCCACCCAGATCCTTACTGTATCCATATAACCCCATATTTAGCATGGCCAATACACCTAACCTGCACATCTTTAGACTGTGAAAGGAAACCCACTGTACCCAGTGGAAACCCACACAGACATGGGCACAATGTGCAAACTCCACATGGACAGTCACCCAAGGTTGAAATCGAAGCTGAGTCCCTGGCACTGTGAGGCAGCTGAGCTAACCATTGAGCCACTATGCTGTCTGGATGTGGTCTCATTGAGTGATAACCAGTTACAATGAATAAGGTTTTCCTGTTAAGCATTGCCATAGTTCAACAAAGGTGAGTTAAAAAAAAAAGAAGGCCCTACATTTCCAATTTTTTTCTTTCCTCTGCTGAATTGCAGTTATTTTACAATAGGTCATTGGCAGACATTTAGCTGAGGCATCCAGTCTTTATGTGCGAGCTGAGATGTTGAAATATTGGTTATCATCAAAAAGTGCAATTTTATTCTCAGTTAATAGCCATAGATATAAAGATTTAAGATATAAGTTAATGAGATTGTAATCAGCTTCCTAGTCCAGAAACAGTCAGGCCATTTACAACATTTCTGTACTACCTCAGATGTGGTCAGCTAATTCTGCACAATACGCGTGTTAAACCTTTTATCATTTTTTCTGTATTCCTTAGTAGCACTGAGTCCTCCACAATAGAAATGTGATATTTGTAAAACTACACACTCTCACAAACTTGTCCTGTAGGCTTACATTGAAAATTTGTTCCATTTTTCAATACAAAATTTATTTATGTTGAAAATCATCAACAGAAAACAAAGCAAGGCGCAATTAGGTTTCATAAAATATTGATGCTGAATTCCCTAACACCCCTTCATCATTGTCCTGAGTAGGAGTTGGTGCAAATAGCTCAGTGGTTAGCACTGCTGTCTCACAGCACCAGGGACCTGGGTTTGATTCCAGCCTTGGGAAACTGTTTGTGTGGAGTTTGCACATTCTCCCCATGTCTGCGTGTGTTTCTTCTGGGTGCTCTGGTTTCCTCCCACAGTCCAAAGATGTGCAGGTTAGGTGGCTTGGCCTTGCTAAATTGCCCATAGTGTTCAGGGATGTGTAGATTAGGTGGGTTATGGGGGAATAGGTCTGGGTGGGATGCTTTGAGTGTTAGTGTGGACTTGTTGGGCTGAAGGGTCTGTTTCCACATTGTAGGGATTCTATGATTATATTTGGTCCAACCATTACTATGATCTGGGACATATTAATGCAGGTTTACATTCTGGCAAGGCCAAGTACCAATTGAAAGGGAATTGGAGTGTGGTGAAGGAAATATAGGCTCAAATCTGCCAATAATGACCTGAAATCCAATTCTGTGCCAACAGAGATGAGAGAGAATTATGTGTTTGCCTTTTCCTGACCTCTGCCTCCCCAGAAAGGTCAGTTGTTTTTTAAGCTTTAATTTGTCCGTTAACTCTTGAATTGTTACACCTGTCACACAAGTGATTTGTAATGTGAAATTTATGAATGGGTTGAGTTAAATCAGGTAGTTTGAAACAAACAGATCTCTGCTCTAATCAGGATGAACACAGCAGGCCAAGCAGCATCAAGAGACTGCTGTATTCATCCAGCTCTACACCTTGTTATCTCAGATTCTCCAGCATCGGCAGTTGCTACTATCTCTGCTGTAATCAGTATTGGCAACCGTTCTATATTTTAGCTGAACATACTGTGCTGGGAAGTCAGTGTTGCCCACAGCAAAGCACATGAATTGAGGGGTGATAGGTATTTTTACGATTTAATTTCAAACTGTCTAACGAACCTGGGACACCATCAATTCCTCGAAATCCAGGTACGCCACGATTTCCTTTGAGCCCTTGTCTACCCGGAGGTCCAAACCCGGGTGGCCCAGGAGGGCCCATAGGTCCTGGGATACCAGCGTTTCCAGGGACACCTTGTGGACCTCTGTCACCATTTGATGCAAATGGTGTCTGTAAATAAAAGATTTTGGAAAGTTAACACTCAATACAGCTTACCATTAAATAATGTAATGAATGATAAAGTATTGCAATTTTAGGTTTCCAAATTGCTTTGTTCTAACGTGAGCTGAAAACAGACAGACAAGCTGAATGAACACAAACTTGCCAGAAATGCTCAGTTTTGATGTGCGTTTATTCCTCCGTGGGGAGTCAGCAAAGAACTAGATTTTCGAGAACCAGGCAAGCATTATTGGGATGATGGATCGTAATGTAAGAACCATGTTATGGCAAAACTGCATTAATCGAGGACGACATGGAATGTAAATTGTCATTTATTCAGCAAGTTTAATTGATAACCCCTTCCTCTTGGCATTCCCTGTAAATATTTCCAAACTTTTAAAGGACATGTGATACTTTTATTTTAGGCAATGGAAGTGAGTAGAAAAATCAATTTATTGGATTTCCATTAAAGGACAGTGGTAATATTCAGAGCTTTAACAATTTTACTGACCTTTTGGGGACTGATTTTATTATCATTTGTGGGCCAGAATCAGACAACACAATGAAAAAGATTAAAGCAGAACATTTAAGATGACTTTCTTACAATTGCTCTACCTATCAGTATTCAAAATGGACAGCTTAGGCTGCTTTGAGAAAGAGGTGAGTGAACAAAGAACAATACAGCACAGGAACAGGGCCTTCGGCCCTCCAAGCCTGCGCCAACACATTTTGCCCTTCCATACCAAAACTGTCTTCATTTACAGGATCCGTATCCCTCTATTCCCTTCCTATTCATCCAGGTGCTTCCTGAATGCTGCTATTGTGACTGCTTCTACCACCTCCTCTGGCAGCGCGTTCCAGGCACTCACCACCCTTTGTGTGAAAAACTCCCCCTTGCACATCTCTTTTAAACTCCCCCACACCACACCTTGAACCTGTGTCCCCTAGTAATTGACCCCTCCACCCTGGGAAAAAGCCTCGTACTTCCCACTCTATCTATGCCATTCACAATCTTGTAAACTTCTGTCAGGTCGCCCCTTAAACTCCTGCGTTCCAGTGAAGACAAAACCAGTTTATCAAACTTTCTTCATAGCTAAAATCCCCTGTACCAGGCAACATCCTCGTAAACCTTTTCTGTATCCTCTCCAAAGCATCCACATCCTTCTGGTAGTGTCATGACCAGAACCTAACTAAAGTTCCATAAATCTGCAGCATAACTTGTCTACCCTTATACTCAGTGTCCCTACCAATGAAGGCAAGCATGCCATAGACTTTTTTTACAACCATATCTACCTGCGCTGTCACCTTCAGTGATCTGTGGACCTGCATATCCAGACCTCTCAGCATATCCATACTGCTAAGAGTTCTGCTATTCACTGTATAATTTCCATATGTACCAGACCTTCCAAAATGCATCAACTCACATTTGTCAGGATTAAATTCTATCTGCCAATTTTCTGCCCATGCCTCCAACTGATACATATCCTGGTGTATCCTCTGACTGTCCTCCTCACTATCCACAACTCCACTAATCTTTGTATCGTCTGCCAACTTACTAATTAGATCAGCTATGTTTTCCTCCAAATCATTTATGTAGACCACTAACAGCAGAGGTCCCAACAGTGATCCCTATGGAATACCACTCGTCACAACCCTCCATTCTGAAAAGCATCCTTCCAGCATTACCCTCTGTCTCCTATGACTAAGCCAGTTCTGTATCCATCTTGCCAGCTCACCCCTGATACGATGTGACTTCATCTTTTGTACCAGTCTGCCATGAGGGACCTTGTCAAAGGTTTTACTGAACTCCATTTAGACAACATCAACCACTTTTCCTTTAATCATTTTCGTCACCTTCTCAAAAAACTCGATCAAGTTAGTGAGGCATGACCTCCCTGCACAAAACCATGTTGTCTGTTGCTAATCAGTCCATTTGCTTCTAAATACATATAGATCTTGTTCCTGAGAATCTTTTCCAATAATTTTCCTACCACTGACATGAGGCTCACAGGCCTGTAATTTCCTGGATTATCCCTGTTACCTATCTTAAACAATGGGACAACATTGGCTATTCTCCAGTCCTCTGGGACCTCACCTGTGGCCGAAGAGGATACAAAAATGTCTCTCAATGCTCCAGCAATTTATTCTGTTTCCTCCCTCAATATTTCAGGATAGGTCCCATCAGGACCCAGGGACTTATCTACATTATTACTTTCTAAGATGCACAACACCTCTTCCTTTTTAATAGCAACTTGGCTTAGAAATTCGACACTCCCTTCCCTGAGATCATCCTCCACCAATTCCTTCTTTTTGGTGAATACCGACACAAAGTATTCATATAGGACCTCACCTACCTCTTCCACACATAGATTGCCTCCTTTGTCTTTGAGTGGGCCAACCCTTTCCCTGGCTACCCTCTTGCTTTTTATATATGTGTAAAAAGCCTTGGGATTCTCCTTAATCCTGTTTGTTAATGACTTTCCATAACCCCCTTTAGCCCTCCTAATTCCTTGTTTAAGTTCTTTCCTACTCTCCTTATATACTTCAAGAGCTTCTTCAGTTCCCATCCTTCTAGACCTTACGTATGCTTCCTTTTTCTTTTTGATCAAGGTTATAACACCTTTGCTCATCCAAGGTTCATGTAACTTGCCATACCTATCCTTCATTATCACAGGAACGTGCTGCTCCTGAACTCTTATCAACTGCCATTTGAAATACTCCCACATGTCTGTGGATTTGTCCTCAAACAGCCACCTCCAACCAAAATTATCCGGTTCTTGCCTGATATTGTTGTAGTTTGCCTTCCCCCAATTTAACACCTTCACCCGAGTGCCTCTGTAACTCGTACATATAGGGGCTCAATAGTGTCAATGGGATTTTGAATAAAGAAAAGGGTGTTGCTGCTGCAAAGACAACAGGAGGCCAGATCGAGAACTTCACAGATATTGGTCTAATTAACTGGACCTAAAAGGGAAAACTTATGTGCAAACTTCAATATTTTAAATCTCTTATGCCAGTAGCACTATCAATTACTGAAGAAAGATTTATTACACCCAATTAACCACAGTACCCCCAATTGAAAATGAACGATCTGGTGTGATATAGACCGAACCAATAATTTTAGACATACCAATTAAGGCAATAAACCGGGAAACAGACAGCACTGGACAAATGTCATGATGCAGTTGTTTAAACAGAATATATTCAAAAGTTCAGTGGATCATTAGGAAGAGCCCATTTGAAGAAATAACTAGAAATTGCAATGAAAACACCAATATTCTAGAAAGCTGAGAATAAATGGTGTAAGAGATAGTAAGAACTGCCGATTCTGGAGTCAGAAATAACACAGTGTGGAGCTGGAGGAACCAGCCCCATTTCTGAAGAAGGGTCCCAACCTGAAACATCAGTTTCCTGCTCCTCTGATGCTGCCTGGCCTGCTGTGTTCCTCCAGCTCCACACTGTGTTATCTCTAATAAATGGTGTAAAACTCTTTTCCTTCTAAACCTTCCTTCTAATATAAATCATGTGATAATGTTTCGGGTCTGATGACCCTTCCTCAGACCCTTCCTTCTGAGGAAAGGTCACCGGACCTGAAACGTTAACTCTGTTTTCTCCTCCACAGATGCTGCCAGACCTGCTGAGCTTTTCCAGCAATTTTGTTTTTGTTCCTGATTTACAGCATCTGCAGTTCTTTTGGTTTTTAAATCATGTGATCATTGTTCTATATTGGCCCAGATTTTCTCGTGAGCGGTGAAATGGACGTGTCTTCAAAAGTGCACTTTTACATCTATATTGACTGCAGCTGGGAGTAATTGATGAAATGTTTCATGAAGGCTGTTGGTCTCTCTAGAGAGAGGTAGCCACCACAGAGGGTAATGTGCTTTATCTCCCCTTCCAACTCCATTTTTATTTAGCCTCTTCCTGCTCCCCTTACCTTTCCCTCACCATGGATGGTTTACATTGCCCTTAACAGGCTTTGCACGTAAATTATTGAATTGGAAACACAGATGATTTACTGGTGGTGTTTGATAGACGAAAAGGAAACCATGGTGATTTGGTGATGGGGTAAGAAAGCATTCAGTTGTGTGTAAGAGCATTCTGGATATAATAAAAAAGGGCCTAGAGTGAGTGGCAAATTGTCAAAGCCATGGTCAGTTTGATATCAAAGGATGAAGGGAATACCCTGGAGCTCCAGCAGGATTCCAATATTCTAGTAGGTGCTTTTAAATTTTTTTTAAGCAATATTTAACTATTTCCAACTATTTTAAACACTTTCAACTGCTTTTTGGTTAACTTTTAAGTGGGTACAATTGGTTTCAATCTATTTAAGGTATTTAAAGTGATTTTAAGTTTTTTAAAGTAAACTCAACTGTGCTTCAAGTGTTTTCAAGAAGTTTTAGGTGATTGCAACTGGTTTAAATAATTTCAGGTGGTTTTAAGAGTGTTACAGGATTCAAAATATTTACTCAGTTCCTTTCCCATATTAGATGCTGCCAGACCAGCTGAGTTTCTCCAGCACGTTCTGCTTGTATTTCCAATCTCCAGCATACGCAGTATTTTCCTTTTATTATTTTGCTGCTCACATCTGCTTCAGGTATTTCCAGGAGCAGGGGAGGGGGACAAATTGAGGCAGGGGAGTGGTGAGGAAGGAGCAGAGTTGGAGATGCTTGGGTTGGAGTAAAGGTCAAATGGGGGGTAAGAGTTTACCCAGATGATGGGGAGGGTCAAGCTGATTTATGGGTAGCAGAAATCATTTATACTGATTTAAGGGGATATGCTCCTGGGACAGGTTTATGATTCCAAGGAGTAGCTCTAAATAAATCAATGCAAGAAACTATGTTAGCCTCTGAAAAACAGCTTGTGCAGCAAAATACTGAGGATGTTGGAAATCTGGAATAATAACAGAGAATGCTGGAGAAGCTCAGTAGGTCTGGCAGCATCTGTGGAGAAAGAAACAGAGTTAATATTTCAAGCCTGATCTGATTCTATTCTGAACGTTTCAGTATTTTCACTTCTAATTAGTCCAAGTTTATTTGTTGACTGGTCCCAATGGACATATCAACAGGGGTCACATGGAGCTATATCTAATGAACTGTAAGTTGTAGCCTACAGTATTGACACTATTGGAACCAGAGATATGGGCCATTACACTTTTTACATAAGTGCAGATTTTGCTGAAAATTTCTTGCAAGTTCCTGCAGTACCCATTGTTTCTTTAGGTGGTGCCATGACATATATCCAACATTAAAGTAGATTTATAGAATGGCTATGTTAACTCAGTTGGCTAAAAGTCTGGTTTGCAATGCAGAGTGATGCTAACAGCATGGATTCAATTCCTGCCCTGTTTTAGGTTACCATGAAGGACTCTCCTTCTCAACCTTTCCCTTCGCTTGAGGTGTGGTGATTCTTGGGTTAAACCACCATCAGTCAGACAGTTATACAGTATGGAAACAGATGCTTTGGTAGTTTTGGACTCCTCTACCCTGGGAAAAAGACCTTGGCTATTCACCCTATCCATGCTCCTCATGATTTTATAAACCTCTATAAGGTCACCCCTCAGCCTCAAATGCTCCAGGGAAAAATGCCCCAACCAATTCAGTCTCTCCCTATAGCTCAAAACCCCCCAATCCTGGCAACATCCTTGTAAATCTTTTCTGAATGCTTTCAAGTTTAACAACATTTTTCCTATAGCAGGGAGACTAGAATTGAATGAAGTATTTTAAAAGTGGCCCCACCAATGTCCTGTACAGCCACAAACATGACCTCCCAACTCAATGCACTGACCAATGAAGGCAAGCACGCCAAACCATCTTGTTTACATGCGACTGCACTTTCAAGGAAATGTGTACCTGTACCCCTAGGTCTTTTTGGTCAGCAACATGCCCCAGAGCCCCGCCATTAACTGTATAAGTCCTGCCCTAGTTTGCCTTACCAAAATGCAACATCTCACATTTATCTAAATTAACTGCCAACTGCCACTCCATTGTCCATTGGCCCATCTGATCAAGCCTGGTAGACTCTGAGGTAACCTTCTTCACTGACCACTGCACCACCAATTTTAGTGTCATCTGAAAACTTACAAGCCATGTGTATCCACATCATGTATATAAATGACGAAAAGCAGTGGACCCAGCACCGATCCTTGTGGCACACTGCTGGTCACAGGCCTCCAGACCGATTGAAAAAACCTATACCACCACCCTCTATCTCCTACCTTCAAGCCAATTTTGTGTCCATTTGGCTACCTCCCCCTGGATTCCATGTGATCTAACCTTGCTAACCAGTCTACCATGCAGAGCCTGGTCAAACGCCTTGCTAAGTCCATATTAACTATGTCTACTGCTCTACCTTAATCAATCTTCTTTGTCACCTCTTCAAAAAACTCAATCAAGTTAGTGAGACATGATTTCCCTAATCAGACCTTGCCTTTCCAAATGCATGTAAATCCCATCCTTCGGAATACCCTCCAACAACTTATCCTCCACGGATGTCAGGCTCACTGGTCTTTGGTTCCTTGGCTTTTCCTTATCATCTTTCTTAAATGACGGCACTGCAGTAGCCAACGTCCAGTCTTCCGGCACCTCACCTATGACTATTGATGATACAAATGTCTCAGCAAGGGGCTTGGCAATCTGTTCCCTAGCTTCCCACAAAGTTCTGGGATATGCCTGATCAGGTCCCAGGGATTTATCAACCTTTATGTGTTTTAAAAACTCCAGCACCTCCTTCACTTTTCATAGAATCACTATTTATTTTCCCAAGTTCCCTAGCTTCCATGCCCTTTTCCACAGTAAATGCTGATGCAAAATATTTATTTATTATCTCAGCCATCTCTTGTGGTTCCACACCAGACAGTCTTGTTGATCTTTAAGGGGCCCTATTCTCTCCCCATTCTTTTGCTATTAATGTATTTGTAGAATCTCTTTGGATTCTCCTTAACCCTATTTGCCAAAGCGATCTCATGTCCCCTTTTTGGCCTCCTGATTTCTCCCTTAAGTACACTCCTACTTCCCTTATACTTTCAAGGGATTTACTTGATCCCAGCTCCCATACCTGATAGTATGCCTCCTTTTTCTTGACGAGAGCCTCAATTTTTCTTGTCATCCAGCATTCCTTACACTTACCAGCTTTTCCCTTCGCACTAACAGAAACATACTATCTCTGAACTCTCGTCATCTCACTTTTGAAGGCCTTCCACTTTCCACCGTCACTTTATCTGTAAACAGCCTCCTTCAATAAACTTTTGAAAATTCCTTCCTAATACCATCAAAGTTGGCCTTCCTCCAATTTAGAACTTTGACTTTTAGATTAGGTCTATCCTTTTCCATAACTATTTTAAAACTAATAGAATTATGATCATTTGCTCCAAAGTGCTCCCCCATTGACACCTCAGTCACTAGCCCTGCCTTATTTCCCAAGTATTGCTCCTTCTCTAGTAGGTACATTCACATCTTGAATAAGAAAATTTTCTTGTACACACTTAAAAAATTCCCTCCATCAAAGCCCTTAACACCATGGCAGTCTCAGTCTATGTTTAGGAAGTTAAAATCCCTTACCATTACAACCGTACAGATACTTGAGATCTTCCTACATATTTGCTCATCTCTCTCTAATGAAAAAGCTGCCTGTGATTTGGTAGGACTATTGTGACGTTGCCTTTACAAAAATAGAGGAATCCTTTTGGTCCTTTGTGTCATACCAAGACTCTGTGAGAACAACTCAGCTTGTTCCACTCCACTCCCTGTAGCCCTGCAAATGTTTTCTATTCAGATGATTGTTCAATTTCTTTTTGAAACTTATGATTGAATCTATCACCGCCATACTCATTAGCAGAACATTACAGATCCTAACCACTTGCGGTGTGAAATGTTCATTCTTGTGTCTTTTCCGGTTAATTTCTAATCATTTTAAATTGATCCGCCGATTCTTTCTTCTTTTCTCCAGTGAAATCAGATTCTAACTACTCTGTCCAGACTCCTCATACTTTTGAAAACTTCTACCAGATTTCTTCTCTACCTCATTATAGCCAACCTGACTCCATTGTATTCTTGGACCAAGAATGGACAAAAGACCTCAATTCAAGAGTGAGGCATGAGTAACTTGATACCAACATAGCATTTAACCAAATGCAGCTTCAGAAACACTGAGGACCAAAGGAATTGGGGTAAAACTCTCTCTCTGCTGGTTGGAGTCATGCCTATCACAAAGCAAAATGGTTGTGATCTTTCCACCTGAATTAGTTTGTACAGTTTTGGATTACTTGTTACTCTGGTTAGACCCACGGCATGTGACTCTTATATCCATCATGTCATTCCAGTCATTTGGTTTGTTTCCAGCACCACCTTATTTTAAAATTTTTGTAATTATCTCTCTACCTCATTTAATCGGATTATAGTTCGTCCCTTCGCTTATTATTCAGCTGTTGACACTTTATTCACACAGTTTGACACTTTTGATCATCTGCAGAGACCTATTATTCAGCCTGTCGACACTCCACTTTGTATGATCTTTTGATCTCTCTGCCTATTGATCTCTCTAGTCTTTAAATTCTGTGCCTGTGTGCTTCCCTCTCATTTCACCTGACAAAGGAGCAACCCTCCAAAAGCTTGTGATTTCAAATTAACCTGTTGGACTATAACCTGGTGTTGTCTGACTTCTGACCTTGTCCACCCCAATCCAACACTGGCACCTCCTCATCATGAAAACGAGGAGGAAGATTTTAAAATCAAGGTGTTGCTTAACAGGGAATAAATGTAGGCCAGTGTGAAACCGGAATAATGGGTGAAGAATGGGTAAAAAGTAATTGTGAATTGAACTTGGTGTGAGTTTGGCTGCGGGCAGTGGACTTTTCAATGAGTTGAAGAGAGGATAACCTGCTAATTATGGTGACCAGCAGGGGAATCAAGACAAAGTCATTGAGTCAATTAGCAGTTCAGTGAGAATAGGATTGAGAAAGTGGGTGATTGGACTTATGAACAAGATGAGCTCAGCAAAGGCATCAGGGAATATAGGAGAGAAACTGGAAGAAGGTGCGGTTTCAGTACTGGGGTGAGGATGAAGGGGGCAGCCTGAGAGGAGGATTGGCCTGGTGAATTAATAATAGGGATAAAAGGCAGCTGATTGGTGGTCTCAAAAACAGATGAGGAGAAATTAATTTTCTCAAAGCGTTGTGAATCTGCGGAATTCACTCCCCCAGAGTCCGGTGGATAAATTTGAGAAGGAGATAACATTTTTAATTGGTAATGGGTTGAAAGGTTAAGGAGAGCAGGCAGAAAACTGATGGTGAGGCTGAAATGAAATCAGGCATGATCATACTAAAAGACAGAGGAGGCTCAAGGAACTGAATAGCCAACTCCTACTCCAAGTTCTTATGTTCTTATCTTCTAATCTTAGCAAAGAAGCCCTTGAGATCCTTGCTGGAGGTTAGCAGAGGGGAGATTCAGAGAAGAAACCACTAACACTGAGTCAAAACTGACACAAAAAACAAATAACAAGATGAAAATACTGACTGGGTCACCCTTGATTCCTCGGGGTCCTTGTGGTCCTGGTTGACCAGGTATTCCATCCTTTCCTTGCCTTCCTGTCTTCCCAAGGAAACCACTGTCACCTTTGTCCCCTTTTGAACCTTGGCCTCCCCTGATTCCTGGATCACCGTTCAAGCCTGGTGGTCCTCCAAAACCTGGGAATCCTGGAGAGCCCTAAAAGGTTGTGGATCAAAAAATAGAAACAACATTGAATTAGCCAGTTTTTATACTAGTTTTACAATCAGGAAAGTAATGGCACTTTAATTTAAAATAAGAGTCAGTAATTCTTTTGTGTTTCATTGCCAGAATTTTGTTATTTCTACTTTAATCTTAATTTTATGATTCAGTAGTCTTCAGAATTAAAGAGTTAATGAGAAAGAAAGAAAGACTTGCATTTGTGTAGCACCTATCACAACCACTGGCTGTTTCAAAGCACTTTACAGCCAATGAAGTACTTTTTGACCGTAGTTGCTTTTGTGATTTTGTGGCGGTTAGTTTGCTCACAGCAGGTTCATGATGACCAGATGATCTAGTCTTGTTTAGTTGATTAAGGACCGTAAGAAACTACAGAAGGTGGTGTTCACAGCCCAACCCATCACGGAAGCCAACCTCCATCCATGAACTCTATTTACACGTCTCGTTGCCATGGAAAGGCGGCTAACATCATAAAAGACCCATCCCACCCCGGTAATGCACTCCTACAACCTCTTCCGTCAGGCAGAAGATACAGAAGCTTGAACACATGCACCAGCATGTTCAAAAAGAGCTTCTTCGCTGCCATGATTAGACTGATGAATGGGCTCTCTAACTTCAAATAATGCTGATCTTGTTACTGTTGATCTTGCCTTGCATACATCCTGTGCTGTGTAACCTGTACGCCTTACCCTGTCCAAGTTTTTTTTTCACCTTTTGATCTATATGTCCTTGCTTACTATGATCTGCCTGTACTGCTCGCAAATAAAGTTTTTCTTACTTAGCTACACATGACAATAAATCAAATCGATCATTCAGTCAGCCTTGTGGTGTTGTCAGTCAGGGACTTTACCCTTGTGCACAGGGAGAAACAGGACCAGGAAGCTGGGGATGTGGGGGCCAATGGACTTCACTGCCCAGAAACTGCAGCAGTGTAGTGAGCCATGTAACAATATGGCTGCCTCCATGAACAGGTTGGCAGTTGCCATGGAGATTCAGGACCAGCCCCTTTGAGGTAAACTGAAGAGCCGCACATACCTACACTTCATTACCCCAGTCCAGGTACTCGCCCTAACATGGAGACGGAGTGATGGCAGGAGGCACCAGCTGGAGGTGGAAATACACAAATAGCCCTTGGTAGTTTCCACTTAAGACATTGTAGAGGTGGCTATGCTCATCACCTCCACTGTGCCTGTCCCACTTCAGCCCTTGGAAGTCCAAGTTCAGGAGGGATGATTTACCTCAGCAGTTCTGGTCCACAAACCCCTCCCTGGGTCACCCACCAACCCTCCGAGGTCAACAGGCTACACAGCTGCAGAACCAGAGAGTGCACTGAGATGTAGTAAGTGGGAGAGGAAGTTGATAGCTGATTGAGGGGACTTTGGTGGTCCAGGTGAGGAAGCCTTTTTTGTAAATATCAGTTTCTCCATAAATGTTCATAATTTTGACTTTCAGGAATGTGTTTGTGAGTATCTCTACGTCAATTTGGAAAGGAGGAGGAGCCTGGTAAGAGAGACCACATTGCTCTCTCTTCAGGCCCCCAGGGCCCCTTGTCAGCAGCCCCACTCCTGTAACCATCAACCTTCTATCACTCAAATTGTGGCCTGAGTCCCTAACTGATCCTGGGACCCTGGTGGATGCATTATCCACAAATTGGATGCAAAATTGGCTTGATGGTAGGAGACAGAGTGCAGTGGTGGAGAGTTGGGTTTTGGACTGGAGCCCTTGTGACCAGCGGTACTGGGTTCACTTTTGTTTGTCATTTATGTAATCAGTTTGGATGAAAGTATAGGAGGCATGGTTCGTAGGTTTGTGGATGACACCAAAATTAGTAGTATTCTGAACAGTGAATAAGGTTATCTAAGATTACAAAGAGATCTTGATTAATTGGGTCAATGGGCTGAGGGGTGGCAGTTTAATTTGGATAAATGTGAGTTATTGCATTTTAGTAAAACAACAAGAGCAGAACGTATACAATTAATGGTAGGGCCCTGGGTAGTGTTGTAGAACATTGAGACCTAAGGGTTCAGGTCCCTAAATTTTTGAAATTTGTGTCACAGATAGAAAGAAGGCATTTAACACGCTTGCCTTCACTGTCCAGGCCATTGATTACAGGAGTTGGGATGTCATGTTGGGGTTGTGCAGGATGTTGGTGAGGCCTCTTCTGGAGTACTGTGTACAGTTCTGGTCACCCTGCTACAGGAAGGATCTTATCAAATTGGAGAGGGTTCAGAAAAGATTTAGCAGGATGTTGCTGGAATGGATGGTTTGAGTTTTAAAAATACGCTGGATAAGCTTAGACATTTTTCGCTGGAGCATAGGTGGTCGAAGGGTGACCTTATTGAGGTTGCTAAAATCATGAGGGGTATAGATGATGTGAATAACAAGGATCTTTTCCCAGGGTGGAGGAGTTCAGATTTGGGGATGTATTTTTAAGGTGAGAGGAGAAAGTTTAAAAAAGGGCTGAGTGGGTCGTGTGTGAAATGAACTGCCAGAGGAAGTGGTAGGTGCAGATACAGTTACAATGTTTAAAAGACATTTGGATAAGTATGTGAATAGGAAATGTTTGGAGGGATATGGGCCAAGTACAGGCAAGTGCGACCAGTTCACTTTGGGAATGTAGTGAGGACTAATTGGACTGAAGGGTCTGTTTCCATGCTGTATGAATCTATGACACTAAATGGATTTTTACACAATCTGGCAGCAGCTCATGGCCACAGTCAGGGTTCCATGGATGGAAGTCTGGGCTGAGAACCCACTGTCCCATCTGGAAGTTGAGTACAATGTGTACTCATGATGTTGGGTCATGGTGACACTTCTATCCCTCCTCATTCAACATCTCTAATGTTTGGCTCCTCCGTGCGCAAAGGTCTACTTGTCAGAGAGTTGTCCAGGAACAGCTGTGGCAGGAAGGTGCAATGGGGAGAGGGTCAATGCTATAGGATAGTCAGGGAGTAGTCAGCCTAAGTGCCTAAGTCCTCTACCTTTCATGGACTAGAGGCCAATGTTGTTTCTTGTTAAAAGTACTATGAATGGAGTTTGCTGCAGCCTTCTCCCTCACATGCCAAGTCACCTACCCCACCCAGTCTGCTCACGGCCATGTTCTTTTGTCTCTTCAAATTTGTGTTCCAGGATGATGGAAAACAACAGTGAGTGCTCCTCTTCAAGTGGCTTCTATCTTCAGCCTGACTGTGTTGGTGAGCCCCCAGTTATCCCTATTTCCTTCCCAGAAGCCCATTTCATCAACCCCATAGGATTACACTTCCCCAAGTTTCTACCTATATTCGTCTGCACCTGCCTATCTTGCCACCTAGACCTTGGCAATATGGGTGAGTACGCCTGGTGTCAAACTGCCCTTTGCTGATACTCCTGCCCATGGATTTTTAAAAAAAAATTATTCATGTTGTGGGATGTGGGTGTCACTGGCTGGACCAGCATTTATTGCCTGCCCTTTGTTGCCCTTGAGAATATGGTGATGAGCTGCCTTCTTGAACTGCTACAGTCCACCTGCTGTGGCTTGACCCACAATACCATTGGGGAGGGAATTCCAGGATTTTGACCCAGCGACAATGAGGGAATGGCGATATATTTCCAAGTCAGGATGATGATTGGCTTGGAGGGGAACTTGAAGGTGGTGGTGTTCCCATACATCTGCTACCTTTGTCATAGAATCGGCACAGAATCCCTAGTGTGGAAACAGGCTACTCGGCCCACAGAGTCCACACTGACTCTGAAGAACATCCCACCCAGACTCACTTCCACCAACATCCCTGCAACCCTGCACTCCCCATGGCCAATCATAGAACATAGAACAAAGAACATAGAACATTACAGCGCAGTACAGGCCCTTCGGCCCTCGATG